ATATATGACAATATTACAACATATATTTATATACAAAACATATTTTGAAGACAACATTTATTTTTTCTGGTCAAGAAAAGATCAATATATCCTTGAAAATCTGCAAATTATCCTTGAAAAGTCCTGGTAATATCCTGGAATTTTAAATTAACTTTTGGCTGGCCACCCTGTGTGTGTACACTGTAAATAGTCATCATTATTATTAGTAACATGACATGTGTACACTGTAAATAATAATCATTACTATTAGTAACATGACATGTGTACATTGTAAATAATCATAATCATTATTTGTTCAAAGCACAGGAAAAAATAAAAATTTTATTGAGCATATTTTGTATATTTTAAATGTTTAAAATTGATTTTTAAGAACATAATATAATTGCTTATATTTTTTAAGAACATTTTTTTTTTTTAACTATCTTCGCTTTCAAAAAGGCTGCAAGCAACCACTAATTAGTGTTGGAAGTTACTAGAAGAGAGAAGATGAAGATTGTAGAGCAATATAACGATTGACAAACGACTTAAAAGATTGCAAATTATATGAATCAGGAAAGCAAGATAAAGGAAGCGAATTCCAAAGAACTGATGTTGACGAAAAAAACTACAATAAGAGTTTTTGGAGCACTTAAGAACAGTAACAGAAAAAGGATGAGACTAATTAAATGGCAAATAACACGAGAATAAATTTTAGTAGATGGCACAAGAGACGCTAGCTCTTTAGAGCAGTGCCCATTATAGTATTTGTAGAAAAGTGAAAGAGAAGCAACATTACGATGATGTGACAAAGGTTGAAAGTTGGCTGCAAGAGCAGGTCCAACTATGTTTACAATGCGTTTTTGCACCTTGTCTAAAAGATAAAGAGCATCATTAGAAGTTCCGCATATGGCAAATACCATATATTGTATGGAATACTGTTGCCGATATGGCAACAGTATTCCATACAAGGCCGGATTTGAGATTTATAGAGATGAAGAATAGAATACAGAGTAAAAAAGTGTCGAGCGCGATAATGAGATGCATCTTTAGCAGATGCTAATTTTGCAACGGATTTGATATAATGTTTCCAAGAAAGATCAGAAGTAAGAGTTAATCCTAGAAGATGAAGGGTAGATGACTCATTGAGTACATTACTGTTCATAAATATAAGAAGGTCTAAATTATTGCGATAACAATTAGCTGAAAAAAATTGAGTTTTATCTGAATTAAAGTTCACCAGCCAGTGACCCCCATGCTGTAGCAGAAGTGAGATCCTTTTCCAGCTCAAATGTCCCCTTCAAGCAATCAGAGGAAGTTGGCTTCTTATTGTGACAAGAATAAATAGTAGTATCATCAGCAAACAATGCCACCTTAGATGTGAGAATATCTGGTAGATTGTTAATGTAAATTAAAAAGAGTATAGGGCCAAGAGATGAACCTTGAGGAACCCCTGAGGTTGCAGAATAAGAAGAAGAGTGCTGTCCATCAAGGACAACTTTTATACTACCATTGGAAAGGAAGCATTCAATAATCTTGAAGATGTTTCTAGATACACTCTAAGAAGAAAGCTTATGGAGAAGACCAGCATGCCAAACTTAATCAAACGCTTTAGAAATGTCAAGAGTGATGACCTTAACCTCTCCACCTTTATCTAATTCACGATAAAACCTATTGGTTATTACTGTTAGCAAATAAGCCGTAGAATGAGAAGATAGAATTCCATATTGATGATCAGAAAGTAAGTTATTAGATTCAAGATAAGAGATTAAGTGTTTGTTAATTAAAGATTCAAAAATCTTGCTTATGATAGGAAGAAGACTAATAGAACGGTAGTTAGACGAATTAGATCGTTCTCCAGAATTTAAAAAAATGGGGATAACAAATGCTGCTTTCCAGCAGGCTGGAAAACAAGACTCTGATAAGTACTTGTTGAATAGTTTTGAAAGGATAGATGACAGGTCCGGAGAACACTTCTTCAAGACTATAACAGGTATGTTGTAGAAGAGTCTAAGCAGGTAATCACTTTATATACAGAAGCTGGAGTGATAAAAATGTCAAACAATGGATCAACCTATTTGACGGCTATATCAGGTAGAAAGCCACTAGTGGAATTAAGAGATGATATTGATGAAAAGTTCTTATCAAACAATTCAGCTTTGTCTTTAGGTGAGGTGACAAAGTCTGTATCATACATAAGAGGTGGAATTACAGACTTGCCCTTATTATTGATACTATTAAAGATTCTCCAGAAGTCACGAGAGCCTATTTTTTGTGATGAAATACGAGATTTCATTATCTGACAATAGCGGGCTTTGGCGTTAGACAACCTTTTTACAATGGTTCCTGGCAGTAATAAATAGACGTCTGTTTTCTGGAGAATTGTTTTGCTGATAGATATGGAAGTAATGGTTTTGATTGGCAATTGCAGCAGCACAATGTGAGGAAAACCATGGAGAAGAGTGAGGCTTGACCTGGAATCATGGAGAGGGAATAAAGGATTCCATGCCAGCCTGAATCCACGAAGTTATGTAAGAAGCACATTTGTCAGCAGGAAGACGAAAGATTTCTACCCAAGAGCCATAACAAAGAAAAGCATGAAAAGAGTCCCAGTCAGCTTTATGGTAGTTGTAAGAGATACAATGATAGGTTGATTCTGATTATGAAGAAGACTGAGATAATAGTTTTAGAGAGATTAAGTCGTGACCAGAAGCACCTAAGAGTGAATGTGGAGAAACTGTGCACTGACTAGGATCAGAAACAAGACATAAGTCGAGTAGAGAAGGTAAATGATTCGGGTTGTCTGGAAAGCGAGTTGGAAAGTTGACTCTTTGAGTTAGGGATTGAGTAAGGTAAAAGTTGTGGGCCTTAATGCCTGCTGAGTCACTGACACTAGAGCCAAGCCATTCAGTGTGATGAACATTAAAGTTGCTGACAACAACAATATTGGCTGATGGATAAAAGAGAGGGCTTGGTCAATATGACCAGAAATAACATCAAGAATCAGTGATAAATCACAATCAGTGAACAATCAGAAATAACATCAAGAAGAGTTAGTTTATAACATCAAGAAATAACATCAAGAAGAGTAGTTTTGAGATAAAGGAGAGCGATATAGAACAAAGAGATAGAGTGAAGTGGTGCATTTTAAACATATTTTTCAAGAACATAATTTAAGTGCTTAAACATATTTTTCAAGAACATAATTTTAGTGTTTAAACTTATTTTTCAAGAACATATTTTAAAACATTTTTTAAAGAATTTTAGGGTTTATACAGATTTAAGGTTTATACAGAATTTTTGATTTCTCTGTTTATTATTAAGACTTATCTTGTTTCTTTCTCTTGTTATTTTTAATATTTTATTAATAATAAAATGTTAAATCAGAGCCTTTATTTGATTTATTTAATATCTGGCTATGTGTTAAATATTTAATTTATATGTTTTTGAGTAAGGGCTGGTGAGGCTTTTTAGTAAAAACAAATTACCTAGAAAAAGGACAATGTTGATATAAGACCTTTGATGATTCCTCCTAGAAGTAGTATCATAGTAATCTTTAAAACAGGTTAACACCAGAAAGAGCACCTGGAGCAGCTGGTTGTAAAAAAGTTGCCTTACCTTTTCCATTATGTCGTATTGAAAGTTAAATGGCTTTGTTGAAACTAATCTGAAACACATGAGTGTGACTTCTGTTTATGTATACTAATTATAGTATACATGTAATAATTGATTTATGCTTTATTAGAGTCTCTCCATGTATGCAGTTATTGATTTATCACAAAAGGTCAACCTTTATACTGGAAAGCAAAAGGTATTTTTTGTTTCAATAATTTAATATAATGATAATAATTAGTAATTGTATCAATCATAGTGATACTAGTAATAAACAATAATAATAATAATAAAAATTAGTATAGTTATCAGCTAATGTGTTTATGTATTTTAGTTTCAACTAATTTATATGCATATTTTAATTGCATTTAGTTTAAATATTATTTTAAAGGTAGTGACACTAGAATTGCCAATCTTTTCAGCTGATGGTATGTTTTAACAAATTTAATTTAATATTCTTAATCTCTTCTTAATCAAAATCATTTTTAAATTGATAAAAGTTTTTATGTTCTAGAGCTCTTACAAAAAAGAGTCAGCATGTATATGTTTGCAGCTACAAGCTTTCATATTGTATGTTTTTATTATATTTCTTTAAGTAATTTTGATTCAAAAATTTAAGTTATTAGATTTAATTTAAGTTATTAAATTTGAATTTAAGTAATAATAAAAAAATAAGATAATAATAGAAATAATAATCTTTATCTTGATATTTTGCTGTGTGAATTTTAATATTTTGCGTTTGACAATATGCTTGGTATATTGGGTATATTTTGTAATTAGCAAAACTGATTGTGCACTGATTGTGCCTTCATGTTCTCCCTATTTAAGTTAATATATGACTTAAATAGGGAGAACATGAAGGCAGTGCTCATACATAAGGGTTAGATGTGTAGGTGTGCATATATATATATATATATATATATATATATATATATATATATATATATATATATATATATATATATATATATATATATATATATATATATATATATATATATATATATATATGTATGTATATATATATATAAAATCAGGGTTGAATTTTTACTGACTTTTAAATTTACCAATAAATCGGTAAAAAAAGCATAATTTACCAGTAAATATCAATAAAAATAATCATAGAAACTCATAATAAATGAGCTCTGAGGAAACAGTCTATCAAGTAAGTAGTCATTCATTCTTGATCGAACTTTTGTTACAAATAATCCAGCAGTAGAAAAGGCTCTTTCAGACTCAATACTTGTTGGAGGGATAGTCTCCAGTGCATTGAACAAGTTCAAGATTGGCAGTTCTCTTTCGAGTAGCTTTATAGACCAACATTTCTTTTGTAATGGCTTAAAATTCTTTTTTTTTTTTTTCTTCAACCATATTAATAAAATTTACAAATTTGATCGTAAATTAATATAAATTGGTTAGGTGTCACTCATATAGTTACAAACTAGTCAATGGAGTGACACCTAAAAAACATAAAAATTTCACGAAAAAATAAATAAAAAAATAGAAGAAAAAAAAAAAAAAAAGGAAAAGCTCAACATCTGTATATATAAATAAGAGAGAAAAGAAGAAAAGATTGTTAAACAAATAATAATGATATATGTAATAATAATAGTAATAATACAAAATAATAACAATAATAATAAAGTACCAATAATATTAAGAATATTATTATACAATATAAATTGTATGTACAAATCATAGATGATAATTAGATATAATAATAACATAAAATGTAACATTAATAGCACAATAATAAATAAATATAAGATTGGTAAATAATAAATAAAGTAAAAATCAAACCACTTGTTCGTTAATGAGATTATATATTGAAGACAACTACAGTACAGAGAGAAATTATAAAGAAATTTTTTTTTTAAATTTAATTCACCTCCTCAAGGCCGAGAAGGCCACTACAGGCGAGGAGGCTACTTATTTGTGCTTATAACCCTCTCTCAACTCTATAACTCCGAAACACGAACCTTGATGAACAAGGCCGCTGAGGATTTTTAGTTCAGAAAATTTTTTTTCGATATCAGATCTCATTGGGGAAAACGTCATTATTCTAATTGATGCGCGTTGTAAACTAACAATATTATTAAGTAAAAAGTTTCTTTTTTGACCTCAAACAATACAACAATAGCAAAGGTGAGAAGAGAATAAAGAAAAATAAATCATTTGAAGAGTTTAGATAGGAACATAGTAACGAATTAGAGAAAGCATACTGTTAGCTCGTTAAGTTTTTTTTTTAGATTTACAGTTGATTATACCAAGATAGGTTTTCATCAAGATATATTTCAAAAGTTTTTTACCGTTAATTTTAATTTTAATATGATCAATAGTTTTTTGAGGGGAATATAAAAAATGTAATCAGTTTTATTGACATTCAAGGAAATACGGTTACTATTTAACCAGTTATATAAGCGATGAAGATCTTGATTAACTGTTTTACATAGAGTTGTGAGGGATTTGTTGATATATAAAAGATTGGTATTGTCAGCATAATGATGTATCATAAAATTTTTTAACGAACAAGATAAATAATTTAAATATAATAAGAACAACAATGGTCCAAGATCGGAACCTTGTGGAACGCCATATTTAATAACTTTATGTGTGGGTTCAAATCCATTAATTGAAACAAACTGAGTGCGATCCGTAATATATGAAGAAAACCAATGATTAGCAATACCACGTATTCCGTAGTAGTTTAAATTTTTATTAGAATGTTGTGATCAACCGTATCAAAAGCTTTTTAAAGATCTATGAATACACCACAAGCAAAAGAACCACTGTCAATTGCACCACGAATCATTTCAGAAATGCTAATAAGAGTGTGAGAAGTGGAGTGATTTGAGCGAAACCCAAATTGTCGAATATGAAAACGAGCAGAATTATTCAAAAAGTTGTAAATACGAGAATACATTAGTTTTTCTAAAAGTTTGCTGACATTTGATAATAATGAAATTGGTCTGTAGTTATTACATTCAAGTTTTGAGTCTTTTTTATGAATTGGGATAACAGATACAGTTTTTAAAATATCAGGGAATACACCGGTTGTGAATGACAGATTAAATAGTTCAGAAAGTACAGGAGAGATATCATTTGCAAGAGCTTTAAAAATAGGTATTGGAATGCTGTTAGGTCCTGACGCCTTGCTGTCATTAAGAGAATGAATAATTGATAATACTTCGTTTTTGTCTGTAGGTTTTATGAACATTGAATGAAAATTTAGATTTTTAAGATATTTATTTAAGTCAGTATTGGATGAGTGGATCTTATTCTGTAAATCTTCCGGAACTGAAACAAAGAATGAATTAAAAGATTTAACGGGGTCGTATATCATGGAGTTGGTAGAAGATAAGCATGAAGGAGATAAGTTAACTCTCGAACTAATGTTTAAATTAATACCTTAATACCATCACATGTAGATTGTCAGAGAAGAACTTAGAGTAATGGTTCTTTTTACTACAACCGGTGAAAGTAACAAGTAAGTTTCTATATGTTTTATAAGATTTTTCTAGATTGAATTTGTTATTAGGATTCTTTGCTTTAAGAAATTTGTTAAATATTTTATTTCGCATTTTAATAAAAATCAAGATTCCTCGTGTTATCCAAGGTTTGGGACCCCTTAATAAGCAGCGATTGCTGACTTTTTTTAATGGTGCATGTTTATCTAAAAGAGAATTGAAACTTGAGAAAAACTCTTCAAATGACTTATTAGTCTTACCTTCGTTGACATTGATTACATTAGTCCAGCTAATTTTTGAGAAATCACTACATAATTGGACGCAATTTATTTGTTTTAAATTTTGACGAAAAATGCGGCTTTTACGAGTATTACTTTTGGTTCTATAAAATGGATGTATTAAAAATTGGGGCAAATGATCTGATACCGTAGAAGTAAAATTACCTGCAAAAATATTTGTAGAAGTTGCATTAGAAAATATGTTATCAATTAGAGTTTTGGAATGATTTGTGATTCTTGTTGGCAATGAAATAAAGGGAAGAAAGTTATTTAAAGCAATAGTGTCTAAAAATTCAGAGACAGAATTATCTGAGTTTGCTAATAAAAGATCGACATTAAAATCGCCTATTAAAAAAATAGTTTTTTTTTCCCCCATAGATAGCTTTTCAAAAAGTGGAATTAAATATGATTTAATAAATTCTGAAATATCCATACTAGGATGGCAATAAATACAGCCAATAATGATGTTTGATTTTTTAGGAATTATGATTTCCGCGAACACAGATTCTAAAAGCTTTGGTTTAAGCATATTAAGATCATATCGAAGTTTGTAAATTAATGTATTGATATATAAAGTCAAGCTCCTCCAAAAAAAGATTTTGTCGGAGTGTGCTCATAAACATAATTGGTAAGATTTAATGGGATAGTTGGTAGAATGTCATTTTTTAGTTTAGTTTCAGTTATGCCAATAATACTGAATTTATGATTAATAAGAGATAAAAGTGAGTTTAATTCATCAAAATTTTTAACAAGAGAAGCAATATTTAAATAAAAAAGAGAAATATTATTTTTGTCGATGTTAAAAGAGTCAAAACTTTCTATGTCCATATATTTACAATTAATAGGGTTTTCTTCGAGGTTTACGTCATTGTCATTGTTGTTATTAATTTATCTCTTCAAAACGTCTCAAAAATTCCACTTTTCATTGCAATGCAAAGAGTTGAATTTTGTTGTTTCAGTTTGTTCAAAGAAACTTGAAAATTCCCTCAGCAGTAAGAAGAGTTGTCGGCAGAGGGCTTCTTCTGGCAATTTGACTGGTTCAAGAGCAGCAACAATGTTGTATAAAATGTTTACTTCATCATCACTACAAATCAAATGTGGAGAAATGTCTTTCAATATTTTTCTGAGTGAATCTTTAACTTTAAGAAACTGTTGAATCATTGACAGTAGACTGTTCCATCTTGTTCTGCAGTCAAGGATAATTGAAACCTCATTTCTGTGGTGTTTTTTGATTTCTTCTTGGAGGACATCATTTTTGACTGGAGATTTTTGAAATAATGATGCTTTTTTAATTTTTCGGACTTTTGTGATGACAGATTGCAAGTGCACTTCTAATTTTGGAATGGGAATGTTTTTAAGGTGTTTTTAAGGTTGTTTCTCACACCAGCTGCAAACTTTTTAACTGACTGGATTGCTTGCTTGTGATTTTTTGGAAAATCAAAACCTTTTTCACACATGGCAGATTGAATGAAAGAGCTGTTAACAATGGCGTGAAGACGAAATCCATCCAGTGCTGTAAGTCTTGAAATCACTTCTTTAATTGGTTGCTTTGGGAAAAAAGTTGAAATCTTAGGCTTTTTTGATTCTGTTGCAGCTTTTGTTGTCACCTTTTCCTGTGTTTCTTTTTTGGTTCCATATTTTTTCTCTAGGTGATACCATATTCCAGTTGTGAAACTTGAGTATTTACTGGTATTTTCACATATTTTGCAAGTCATTGTTTTTCCTTTGTTTAAGATGTTGTGTTTCCAAACATCTGGCATTTTGACAGAAAGCAAATCAAATTGATTGATAAATGCAAAAATAAGTATATCACAAGAAAGTAGTAATGTCTTTCTTAAAATGTTCAGACAAAACTTAACCAACAGAATTAGTTTCCAAACAAAATAAACAGCTTGGTTGATAGGAAAGTGATTATTAAAGTTTTAATTTATTGATTAAGCTATTTTGGACTTTTTAAAATATTTTAAAGCATTTTTGAGCATAATGATTCTGATTACCATCTTCGATTTTTAGATTTTTGTTATAGAGACAAACAAATAAACGATGTGGAGGAGTTCTGATTTACGTAAAGGAAAATAGTATACATAACATTAGGAGTGATATGTGGGTTTTCACGGTGAAAAATAAATCATAATAAAATTTTAAATAATAAGACAATTAATACTAGGGATGTACCGAAGCTAAGATTTTGCCGAAGCTGAAGCTTGGGCAGAAGATGCTCTGCCGAAGGCGAAGCTTTGGCCAGAGCCGAAGCTTTTGCACTTACATAGTTAAAATTTGCTGTTTTGTAGATCTAGCTATCTAGGGCTAATATTAATTGCTTAAAATTTTTTTAAATATTTTACTCCAAGTATTTTATGTACTGCATATTGCAAAATATACTGCAATTATAAGTATTTTACTATAACAAATCATAAAGAATTTTTTTTTAGTTACACAATGTCATAGGATTTTAGAATGTAGCTGTGCCTTGTTTGAACAAGTTTAATGTTATAAGGAAAATAATTAATAGCTAATTAGTAATTTTATATTTATTTATTTTTTTGTCAAGCAACCATTTACAATTAATAGTAATTTCCGATAAAATATTTAAAAATATTAAATACAAATACATTTCATTATTTATAATAGTTACAAGACCAGAGAACCTGAAGAAGATAAATCTTATCATCAGTAACCTTTGATAATAAAAATTGGAAATAAAAGTGTGTTGTTAGAAAAAATCATGTAAAGAATCTTGATTGGCAATAAGTTCGATTATGTTCTTTTTAAATTTTTGAGTGGTATTGGCTTCTTTAAGTTTACCACTCAGACTTGTAAAATGGTTCCATAGCATTGGACCATGATAGGAAATAGCAAAGCTCGTAAGTTTTGATGTACCGAAAGGTTTTTTAAAATCTTCCCGTAGATTGCGTGTTGTATCGGTTTTATGTTTTATGGAAAATATTTTCGAAAACCTTTGGCATTTTTTTTGACTGATGTTGAAACATAAATTGTGTAATTTTGAAAATATTTAGTACATAAATATCAAGTGCCCTCATGCTTTTTAGAAGAGGCTTAGCATTTGTGAAGCGATTTTGAAAATGAATAATATGTGCTGCATGATTCTGTTGTTTAAGGAGACAGTTGAGTTTAGATTTATCTGTACTACCCCAGTAATTACTAATTAGTAGTTGAATTAGGGTGTCAATTATAAAACTAGTTTAACTTCTTGTCAACTTAATCAAGTCTAAACTTTAAAATTATATTATAAACAATGTTTTAGTTTACATTTCGTTTTTACTTAGAAGTATGATAAAACTACTATTTATAAAATTACTAATTACAAATGAGGAAAGTTATTTTTATCATACTTATTAGTTTATTGCGTTTAAATTAATTATCTGTTGTTAGAAATCACGCAAATTATAATTTAAAAACGTAATCTATTCTCCATGCTCAGACAACAGCCTGTTTCCCTTGGGTTAAAATATGTTTCTCGTTGTGCTGAACAGAGGTTCACTCTTAACGAAGGTGCGCACAATATTTTCATTGAGAACCTTACCAAATCCCACTTATTAGTGTCTTTATCGGAGCTGGTGTAATTGTAAACACCCCACCACTAATTCGTTATTCATCCGGACATTTATTTTTTCGTAATGTTGATAGGCTAAAGTAGAAGTTGATTTCCTCCATGTTGAATCAAAACTATAAATCAATTTAAAATTTAAACTTATGTTTTAAATTTTTAATCAAGTAAGGAAAAAAGAATACTCTTATTCAACTTATAAATAATAAAGAATAAACATTTATAGTTGATAAATAATTATGTTTTGCATGGAAAATTAAAAATATTAAATGCAACCAGACCTGTAACTACAGGAAGACAAATTTTATTTGACCATCACTATCAGAGTCTTTAACAAAATCAACTTTTTTTGCTTGTTGTAAAAGATCATTTATTTGTAAAAATTTGTATTTTAAATTATATATAAGGGTACTACAGCTTTCATTTAGATTCTATAAATAAAAGCAGTAGTACCCTTGATATAAAATTTCTTTAAGCATACTAGTTTCTTTAACAAATTATATTTGAAACGGGGTTTGAGCACCATTGATTTTTACAGAAAAACATTACCTTTGTATTAATGAAAATGACTTTTAAAATCTTTTATATTCATCAACAGTTTTGATTCCAATTGATTTGTTCCAAGCATAGTCAAGAAACGGTATGATCTCTGATGTGTCTACACTCTTACCTTTTGTAGCGCTTTTAAAGTGTTTTAGTATGCATACAAATATTTCAGCATGCTGCAATTGATTTTCTGAAGGTTATCTGCTTCTGTGATTATAAAACCATGAGTTATTCATGTTTTTGAGTGGTGATAAGAAATAATTTTTCTAGCGTTTGTTTCAAGCGCAAAAAAAAACTAAATATAAATTATTGTGAAATTAGCTTTCAGTAAATACAACAATGGAATAAAATTATACATAAAACTTAAATAAAATATAAAAAACACTCATTAATTTTGATAAGCAGGCAAACAAACAAAAATTTACAATATAGTTTGCGGCATGTCGCAATTTATATTATGTATGCTGCGTCATACGTCAAGGAATCAAAGTAAAGGAGCAAATTACAAGTAATAGAATTGTAAAGTAAAGTAATTTTATTGTAAACAATAAAAAATTTTTATGTTAAATATAACAGTAGCTTATTTCCTTTAATTACCTAAATAAAACTCGTCGAAGCCGATGCTTTGCAAAAACTGACTATAGCTTCTGCCGCAGCCGAAGCTTTGGTATATTCCTAATTAATACTCTATTAGGTGCGGCTAAAAATCATAACTTCTTTTTACAACAAAATATTATTCACAAAAGTAGCAAAGAAAAGAAAATTAGTTTCATAATTGAGGATTTCAAGTTAAGTATAGTATAGTAAAAATCATTTACTGAAATTTACTGACATAACTTTACCAGTAAATCAGTAAAACAATTTTACTGATTTACTCGCAAACTTTCAGGAAAAGCTCAACATTTATATATATATATATGTATATATATATATATATATATATATATATATATATATATATATATATATATATATATATATATTATTATTATTGATATGTATTATTATTGATATATATATATATATATATATATATATATATAATATATATATATATATAATATATATATATAATATATATATATATATATATATATATATATATATATATATATATATATATATATATATATATATATATATATATATATATATATATATATATATATATATATATATATATATATATATATATATGAAAAGAGAGATTTTTATTTATGTTTTCTCTTAGTACATAAATCCAGAAGATGTTAAAAGAGTTCAAGTGCATGATCTTGACTATTGCAATAAAGGTAGTTATGTAAATTTAAAAGGTATAAATATTTTTGCAATAAGTAGGTAACAAGTACTTTTTAGTTTACAACAATATTATTAAAAGCACATTAACAAAATGTTTGTTTGAAGATAGGAATCCAGCAAATAAATAAAAAATGTAGCCATACATAAGTGTTTTAATTTAAAAAAGCGAATAGAAAAACTTCTAATCAGAAAACTTGGTTTACAAGTCTGCTTGTAAACAGAAGGCTGTAGAAAGCATTTAGTAATCTTTTTTATTTAATAATAAACACACTCCCATAGTATTGAGTGTTTTTTGGAAAGCTTGAAAAATTGCCATTGCGTTTTTGTGGTTGTAAATGGCTTAACTAAAAACAAAATTTATACGAAAATTTTGATTATTTTTTTTTAATAAAGAATTTTAAAAAATGTAGTATTATAATTTATAGTAATTATAAATAATAATAAACCATAAATTATGAACAGAAATTGTAAACAGTAAAAAGTTGACAAACTTATATTAAATGCTTATAGTAATTTCAAATAAACCATTGATTCAATCTGAAATGAAATGAAATGAAATGAAATGAAAATATATCAAGGAAGAAAAACACAATTATTAACAAATTAGAAAAATTTAACTGTAATGGTGACTTTAATTGACTTTTATTAAATTATAAACTGAAAGTTTGGTGATGTTTTTTTTTTAAACTATTAAAATTTTTTACCTCTTTAACAAAAAGTTATATAACATCTCGAAAATACCCTTGAATTAAATGTTCAAATTAATAACAGCTTACATAGTTTAATTTGCAACTTTAAAATTTCATAAGCTGTATTTTTTTTATGCTACAGCCACAAAAACCCAAAAAGTTTTAATGCAGAGAGCATGTTTTGAATTTTTTAATTACCCTTTGTTAATCCTTGTAATAAATAATAAAAAAATGGTGTAACATTCTTAAATGTGTTGCGCAAGTAAAATGGAAAAAAAAAAAAAAAAAAAAATCTTTAAATTGTAATGAGAAAGGGTTATCAAAAAATGCTTTGGCATTGTTATTCAAAACTTGTAAAATTAATTGCTTTGTTGTTTTTTAACTTACTTTTTTTTATCAAAATAATTTAAACTTTGTTATATTTTTTCATAATGGAAATAAATTTACAGCCTATCTTCTCCTGCATTTATCTTATTATTTATTAGTGTTTATTATTTTTACTTGTATGCTAAAGTTAATTACTTTCAAATGTGTTTAGCTAATTTATGCATTTCTTTGCTTCGAAACATACTGTCTGATAGTGAATACAATCTTGTCTGTTCAAAGTATTACTTATCACTCAGTGAACACAGTGCTGTTCATTTCGTGTCTTGGAATAAATTTGTTTGTGCAACTTTGAAATTTATGGGTTTTCCAGAATCATCATATAAACATTTAAATGTATGTTGTTTTTTTTACCTTTTAAAAATTGATTTTATTGTGTGAATGTATCTGTGTGTGTATATCTCGCTGTTAGAAAAAATCCAAGGTAACTGTCAAGTCAGTTCCAGAGAAAACAGTGATATACCTGTGTTAAACCTGTGATATATCTGCGATATATCTGCGGTATACCTGTAAAAGCTTATGAGATTCTAAAAATGTAAAATTGTAAATCATCCTGAAAAAGAAAATGAAGTTTGAAAATTTTCTTTATTGCACATATGAAGTGACAGCGTTTACAAAATTTTACATTTTTACAGTATTAATAAGAATGAAACTTTTACATAAATAGAATTCATAGATTCCATAATTTTTTACTACATTAAGGTTTGAAATTTTTTGAGAAAAGTTATTACAGAGGCAAAATTTGTAAAGTAAGCATTTTTGAGGCTAAAAATCAAGGAGAAAATCAAAAAATTGTATCTCATATGTGTCTCAAAAAGGCAAATAGACATCTCACAATGTTTTTAGAAAAAAAATATCAATTTGTTTAAGACCAACCAATCAAATTTTGATGGCACAAGTGGTTCATAAAACATGTAAAATTGTTTTGTTCCCCAAGACATTTGTGAAAAATGTAGTACTGCTTTTTAAACATGTTATGAAGGTTATTCAGTTGAACTGCCACAGCCTTTTCAGTTTAAAAGAGTTAATGTTAAAACACCCACAAGAGAAAATCCTCAATTCAAATTTTTTCCATCTTTACAAAAATTTGCTGATATCTTTTTATTTTGGCAACATATTGTATTTTCAATTGAAGAAAAAGTTGATGCTTTCTAGAATTCTTTTCAATCATTGCCTATTAAATGTGCCACACCTAAAATGCAGTATTTTTTTGTTTCAAAGCCTTTGTCCAACAGAAAAAGATGCCATTCAGAATTTATAGCGAACAACAACAGAAGCAATACACTATTGTTTGAAATTAAAACAAAAAATTTTCAAATAAAAGCCCATTAAACTTTTACTTTAAAGCCCATTTTCAAACAAAAAGCCATTTCAAACAAAAGCCCATTAAGTCATTCAGATTAAGGAAAAAAACTTGTGATGTATCTTGTTGATTTTAACAGCAAGAATTTTTGAAAAAAACCTCGACCAACTTAATGAATACTAAGAATAATCAATTTTTTAAGAAAAATTATTTCACCTTTTTGAGAATCTTGAGAAAAGAATATTAAAAAAAGTGTTAACAATTTGTTTTGAAATTTTATATATACTGCTATTTTATATATACTTTTATATATACTGCTTGTATTATTTGATTATGAATGCTGTAAAAATGCAAAATTTTGGAGAATTTCACATATATGAATTTTGGAGTCATTTCACATATATGTGCAATAAAATTTTTTTTCAAAACCTTATTTTTTTTCCCGGACTTAGGCAGAGGATTTTAATTTTTACATTTTTGGAATCATGAGCTTTAACATGTATATTGCAGTTTTCTCGATATTACATGCAATATTACCCAATGCAAATTATGGGATTTTGTACTACCCTCATCAATATTCTGTCATAATTCTTTTTCTTAGTCGATGCTATGTCTTCCAAAACATAAAGACATTGTGTTGACTAAGAAAAAGGTTTACTAAATATTAAAGCTATTAAGCTATGTTATAACTATTTTTTTTTCATTTTACACAAACTCAAATATATATATATATATATATATATATATATATATATATATATATATATATATATATATATATATATATATATATATATATATATATATATATATATATATATATATATATATATACATATATATATATATATATATATATATATATATATATATATATATATATATATATATATATATATATATATATATATATATATATATATATATATATATATATATATATATATATATATATATATATATATATATATATATATATATATATATATATATATATATGTATATATATATATATGTATATATATATATATATGTATATATATATATATATATATATATATATATATATATATATATATATGTATATATATATATATATGTATATATATATATATATATATATATATATATATATATATATATATATATATATATATATATATATATATATATATATATAAATATATATATATATATATATATATATATATATATAATTATTACGCACTAAATTGTTGCGTTGTAATTTAATTATTGGCACTTTTTAAAGGCATTTTTTCGTGGTACAATAAACGACACTCGTTATGTATATATACTTGCATCTTAAATGTTACAAGTATGTATACATAATATATAGTGTTTACTGCTTCTTTTTCAAGAAAACTAAAGTTTTTCTAGCGAGCAAAGTTAAATTTTGCATCTGGAAAGTTGCTCATAAGGCAATCAGTGAGCACAAGTTATCTGCTGAATATAATAATCCGATCTCTATCTTTATGAATGTGAATGCAGTTCCAGGATTGATTGTGATTTCATCAAACAGTTTCACAATGTAAAGGAGTATTGTAGAAGTGTGTTGCATTTGGTGGTCTGTGGTCAAATTTCTTTCTTTTGGGTAAAATTTAATTATATTTATATAACTATTATTTATCTTTTTATATACTAATAGATCAATAGGCATTGTTCTATTAGTATATATATTAATCTAGCTCTATAAACAAAAATCTAAATAGTTTTCTTTTTCTTTCTAAGCATGACATTTTTTTCTAGGCATGATATCAGAGGATTAGCATTTTGTGGATCTGACCAAATGAAGAAAACTTTAAAGAGCCAAGGAAAAATCTATTTTGATCATGTCAAAACAGAATTTTTCTTGACTCTTTAGAGTTACTAGCTGAATACAACTCGTTTCTAGATAAGCATGTAAACATTCACATTAACCAATGTACCGGTTCTTATCTGCCGGTTAATGTTTACCCTGAGTTTAGCCAGCTACTTGGCGATTCAATTTTTCAAACAATTGGTAGCTATATATTGCTTTTATATTTTTATTTAATATCCTTTGAAATTGGTTTAAAAAAACCACTAAAAATTAAAAAATAAATTTTTTTTGCATTTGCAAATTTCATTCTTACAGTTATTGAACTTAAAACTGTCGAATAATATTCAATCATTGATAATAAAAACACATGCATGTAGATCAACTCACTTTTTTTGCTCTGTATCTTATGCCTGATGGATAAAAAGTTAAACATTTTTTATCATTTATTGAAATGAGAGGTCATTGGGCAGCTGATATTCTTAACCTTGTTAAAAAGACATGTGAGGTGCATAGCGTTATTGTTAATGATTGCTGTGGGCAGTGTATGATTATGTCTCTATTTCTGGAATAAACAGGAGATTCTAAGCCTGTTCCAAGAAGCTATTTCAAAATTTATGTAAAGATTCAAGTCTCTCACAGACTAGATGATCTGCACACGTAATTGCATGTTCTGCTCTTCAAATGAGTTATTCTAGTTACAAGGTATAATTATCAGAATAATAATTGTATAGTTCTAAGTTGTCAATAGTGTTTATATATTTGTGTATATGAAATGCGTCAGCTGATCACTATTGTAGAAACTAGAAGACTTAAACCCACATTCCCTAATGTTGATGTTATTTTAAAGATTCAACTTGTTTCTTTGTGCAGCGGCCTTTTTTTGTCAAGATTTGTGTTTCAGAGTTATAGAATTAAAAGAGGGTTGTAGCCATAATTAAAAGCAGCCTCCTTGACAATAGTGGTCATCTAGGCCTAGGGAAGTTAACATTAAAAAAAAAATGTTCCTTTCTCCCGTTGTTGCAAATTATATTGGAAAAAAGTCCTTCTCAACTTTAAAAGAGTAAAGAGTTGCTACAGGTCTGAACAAAAAAGCCTGTATGCTCTTCAATTTTAAAATGTTTTTCTAAAAGATATTTTAGTAAAAGATATTTTTATAGAAATATTATAGAATATTTATAGAATATTTAGAAATATCTGTTTCATTTAACCCTACTGAGTTATTCTAAATGAATGCAAAGTACAAAGATCTGATTGTTCTTTGCTTTATCTCTTGATAAACTTATTACTTGTTGGTAAACATCCAATATTTATAAAATTTATAAAATAAGCCATATAAAAAATTGTGCTGAAGTACTGATTTTTATGGGGACAGATGATAAAAGGGGGGGGGGGGTTAAATGAGGGAAAGGCTAGAGAGGCCACAACCTTTATATTGCTGGGAGATCTGGAAGACCAAGAGATAGGCCTGATTAAAAAAGTATTTCTGATGAGTCTATTTATGAAACATGCACTAAATAAAATAAAAAAAAGAATAGTTTATTTAGTGCTTTGTGTTTAGTGTAATAATATTTTTATATACCAGGAAAATATTGCAAGTCCTGCACCTCCTCAAGCAAAAAAAGCAAAAAAAAGTGATTCTTATATTGGTTTTGAGGTAAAAGAATTTTTTAGTTTGTTTTTGTATGTATGTATGTATGTATGTATGTATGTATGTATGTATGTATGTATGTATAAAACTGAAATCAAAGTTTTAGTTGTTAAGCTGTCAAAAAAAAAACTAGTTTTGAAATAAAATCTGAAAATATTTTAGTTTTTTTTTATTATAAAAATTATGAACTCATAATACTGTCTGGCTTTGTAATAATACTGTTCGGCTTCGTAATAATACTGTCCGGCTTCGTAATAATACTGTCTGGCTTCATAATAATACTGTCCGGCTTCGTAATAATACTATCCGGCTTCATAATATACAGACTATTCTTCACTGAAAGTTGAAGTTTAATATTCAAATTTTAATTCAAAAATTCGAATTTTAAACATTACTTAATAAAGTTTTACATAAGTACTTATTTCAAATAATGATGGGTTGAAAAATATTGCGATGATTGGAGGATGGGAACAAAAAATACCTTAACTTTTTCCCAAATCCCCCTCCACCCCAAACGTGAGGGGCAACAAGTTGATAAAAATTTTTTTATACTATTCTCAATTAGACTTATATTCATCGATAAATTTTAAGTTTCATAGTATTATCATCCAAAAGTTATGACAATATAAAGTTTTAACTCCCTCTTAAATTTATTTTAATATTTTTTAGTAAGCAGTTTGTTAAAAAAGTGTAAAAAATATGTGAATTTACCATGACCCGCACAATATGGGTCATGGTAAGTCTATCCCACACTGACCCTTTCTATATATATTTATTCTTTATATAATCATTTTAATTCAATAACTTTTAGTAAGTTGTAGAAAATAAGAATCTGTCAAATCTTTGTTTTGAGTTGAAAATGTGATTAATGTGATAATAATGTTGATTATGTGATAATAATCTACACTTCTCATCATAAAATTGTAAATTTCTATAAAAAAAAACAGGTACAGGTGTAAAAAATTTTTCTTTATTTGGTTTCTATTAAGTTTTTATCCCAGACCATCCGCAGCATATTAGGACTCTTTCCTTCATATATAAATACTGTCCATATCATAACTTGCCAGTTTATGTATATATTGTAGTTCCCACCTATTCCTTTTTCATTTGATCTTTATATCTCTTAACTTATAAAGATATGTTATCTGTATATTTTAATAATATTATGATACTTATATAAATAAATATGCAACATATATTTAAATACATTTAATCATACTAAAATCCAATACACTTAAGTTATATTTAAATACATTTACAATAAATAAAAACAATAAATTAATGTTATACCTTAATGCATTTAAGATTTTTTTCATAGGATTGGGAATATGTTCTAGAAAGCAAAGAAAGTTCTTTGAATAAACTATATAATGTGACAGAGCTTAAAAGTGACAGCCAAAGCAATACAGAGATAACGTAGGTTTTTTTATGTTCTTTACCTTAAATTTGTTGTAAATAAGCATTAAAATATGTAAAACAATTTCTAAATAAAGTGCTCTTTACTATTAGTTAATTAATATCAATACATTATTATTGTTGTTGTAATTGCTGTTGTAAAGTGTTGTTCCTATTAATTTTGTAAGTTGTTGTTGCTAATGTTGTTTTGAAATGTTATATTATTGTTGTAAGTTGCTGTTGGTGTTGTTGTTGTAAAATATATATTTTTTTGATGTTGTGTAATTTTTGTTGTAAACCGTAATACACCTTTTCACAGTTCCGATGTAAAATTTATGCGCGCGCAGAAATGGAAGTAAAAACGTAAACAAACATAATTTCAATGGTTTATGTTATAGAGGTTTAAAATGGAAAAAAAATGTAAATACTGAACCTATACTATATAGAAGTTTCAAGAGATCGAAAACATGCGCTCTCATTGGTTGTAAAAATAACGAGTACATTCTAGAAATGTGGAAAGATGATTTATATATGATACAAAATGTTAAATGCTCTAACTTGTGAAACTGAAAACTACCATTTCTGTAAGCATTTGTTATCCATTATCAACACGCACACAGATATATAACAATATAAAAACAACTACAGCTCAGAGAAACATAGAGAAAACTAATTAACCGTTCAACTCATACATTATTGCGTCATAGTAAATTATTTACCATAAAATATAAAATGAGAGAATGTTCAGACATTTTTTCTGACAGAGCACTATCGTTTAAAAATCAATATTTTTCGTTTAACTAAAGCTACAATACTCAAAGACTTATATTATTTAATGTAAATAATACAAATTTTTCAAACAATGATCGCTCAAATTATGTTGAATTTAATGTTAAGGGTTGTTTTATAATAGAGCATCAAGAATTAAAAAAGGAAGTTGATAACTCAAAAAAAAACTTTAGCACTAAAGTAAAAAAAATATTTGAATAATTAACTTCAACCACATCAATTATTACAATGAAGCAAACTTGTATATAAACATAATCCAAACAAATTGTGTTATTACAATTTACTTGTATACAAACATTTATTTTAAAAATGATAGATCTTGCGACTTTTATACTGGCCTTACATCTTTAACAAAGGTTTAACAAAGAACAAGCAAGTCTGGTGAATTTAACAAGAGGTAAGATTTAACTGGTAGAAAATTATTTCAAAGGCCACGCATATTTGTGAAAGATTTATAGAAACAGTCAGGTAATGGTGATGGTTTTTTATGCCAAATGGTTTTGGTTACTTTAAGCATAATTTAAGTTTAAAGAGAACTCTACTTATTCATAGGTAGAGCACGATGAGCTATGCAGTTGTCTCAGTCCTGCTAATTAACCTAAAGTAGTAACTTAAGGTTCTTTATGTGGCCTCGACAATGCACACCAAAAGCACTAACAGGAACATTTTCAACTAGGCACTGTTAATTTTCAGATAGTTCAGAGTTTCAGAGCTACCACAGAGTTCGGAAACCTTACTACCATCCAGCCTCAGAACCATTAAACTGAGCCTCAGAACCATTAAACTGAGGCTCAGAACCATTAAACTGAGCCTCAGAACCATTAAATTGAGTTAAACATTAAACTGACTATCAAGGATGTGCAATAAAAATCTATGAGTAGAGTCTTGAGAATTCAATTTATCATTTGTCATTTTAGGCAGTAAACAATGTAACACAAGTTTACATCAAGGCCTGCCTAATCGATGAAGAAGGCTACCTAGAGTAGTTAAAAAAAGTTTTTTCTTGTAAGCAGTACTTTAAAACATTAATTATTTGGATAATTTATTATTCTAGTAATTATAATGTCTTACTTGTTTTGTTTTTTTTTGTATACAAGTATATTTTAAATTATTATGTTTTGAAATACTAGTTTTTAATGTTTTATATCAATTTATTCCGAAATAAGTTTGTCTTAGGGGTCGTCCATAAATTACGTCACGCAGTTTTTGACATTTTTTTTTTTTTAGTTAGTGCACAAAGATTGTTTTTTTGTTGCTGCACAATTTTGTGCACCAACTAAATAAAGTTCTGCACTTGAGCCATATAAATTCAAAGCGCAGAATGTGCACTGCACATAAAGCCGTAACAGTCAGTTAACAAGCTGTAACTAATCTGTTAACGAAGTGTACATCGACTAAGTAAGATTTGGGCGTAGTTGATTTTACAATCAACATTTTGGTTTAGTCAGATACTCTTTTAACTAAAAGAAAGTCTTCTCTAAAATAAAAAAAAAATGTTGCGTCACAAAATTGAGACCCCCTCCCCCTTGTAACAAATTATCACAAAATCGCCTCCCCTTCCCCCCTCCCTCCTATGCGTGGCGTAATTTATGGACGACCCCTTAAGCCCTTTTTTTTTATCATTATCTTATAGTTAATTTTTTTAGGATGCAAAAACTTTCACCTTTGTATAAGCACATACCTTCGATTTTTATTTGTTGGCATCAACTTTATGAGGTATATATAGAAATAAAGTAAACTTTTTTATTTTGTTTTAAAATGTTTTTAAAAACAGTTATTTTCCTAGCTATTAGGGTTACAGTGAATATGATTCTAAAAAGCAGTAGTGTGGCATGGCGACTTTTTTTGTTTCACATTTATTTTTCTGCAATTTTATCTAAGTTTTAATAATGTAAATGCAAATTATTATTTATAATTATATTATAAATATACAAATATATATAGTTATATGATAAATATATAAATATGTAAAAGGTATAAAAATTAATATCTAATAAAGCACAAAACAATGGTTTTATTTAAAGTTATTTGTAAATTCTTTATGTTGTTTTAATCAAGTATTATTGTGATGCACATTAGATTTAAAAAACTTTTTAACACATATCAATGTACATTGAGTTTTGAGTTTTGGGCACATTTCTTTGATTTCATTTCTTCATGAAAAAGATTGGTTTGATAGCTTAGCACTCAATATGGAACAATGTTTTCAAACTTCTATTGTATATAGTAATAAAAAAAGATAAACTGCTCTTTTTCTGAACGAACTAGACAAAAAGTTGCAAATGATTCTGGGTTTTTTTTCCATTTGTTTTTTTGTTAATTCACCTCCTTAAAGCCAAGAAGGCCACTACAGTTGAGGAGGCCTCGACTTTAGTGGCCTTTAGCTGTGGTTACAACCCTCTCTTAACTCTATAACTCCATCGAACTCGGAACTTCTAGCTTATAAAGTGAGCGGTCTACCACTACACGACTAACGCATTTGATCCAACAAAATGAATTTGTAATTCCTACTAAAATTAATAGGGTATTATTAGCAGTAAAGAGAATGGCGTTCAATAATAGTGACAGAAGTTTGGTGAAACTATTTAGTAAGATTAATGAAAAGCAAGCAAATGCAACAAAGCTATTGCATCAATTAAATCAGAGCCAAATAGAAACCAATAAGCCATTATTGAGCTTTAATTGACAATATTATGAATAAATCAGCATATCATAATGTTCATATGGAAGATCAAAATACTCCTCTACTGATCGATTCAGAAAATCAAAAAAGTTGTCCTTATCCTGAAGCTATTTCAAATACTAATTCTTCTGCTAGAGTAAAATTGAGAGCATTTATAAATCGGAACAAATACAATATTACCAGAAGACTGATAATGCTAATAACAGTGTCACTAATTTATTGGATGCAAATCTGCTCCGAGTATTATTTTATATAAAGACATAATATAATGTTTAAATATGTCACCTCAAAGTGTGAGAACATATTTAACAAATAAGTTCAGTTTAAACCAATTTGAGAAAGTTTTTACTGTGAGTCAACTACAGTATACACTTTAAAGCAACACCAAAATTATAAAAAGGATTTCATTTTTTTGACCACCATTTTTTTGTATGGAATGATCAGATCAGTGCTCTGATCATCCAGAATATGGAAAAAAAAAAAAAATGGCTGTTATCAATAAAAATTAAATTTTGAGTGCAATATTTTATTTGTTGTTCATTAAAGATTCTGAATGAATGTTGATGCTTCAAGACAAAAATTCATTAATATAGTAGAAAACACGGACGTTTAGTGTGATCAAAAAACATCTCTTAAATTCTTTTTATTTTTAGGTTGCTGCGCAAAGATACAAGTTGAGCGCAATACTACCAAAGACATGGTAGAAATCCGAACTTCTTGCTTATGAAATGAGTACTCTACCACTACCACATTCTTGAAGTTTTTTTGAAAGCAGCTCAGCAAAACCAAAGATTTCATAGACACAAGTTTTTTTGAAAGCAGCTCAGTAAAACCAAAGATTTCATAGACACAAGTTTTTTTGAAAGCAGCTCAGTAAAACCAAAGATTTCATAGACACAAGTTTTTTTGAAAGCAGCTCAGTAAAACCAAAGATTTCATAGACACAAGTTTTTTTGAAAGCAGCTCAGTAAAACCAAAGACTTCAGACACAAGTTTTTTCAGCCAGTCGTTAGAGAATTTCAATCTTTTTCAAAAGCTTATGGGAAATCATTGAAGTATCCATCATTTAATAGTTGGAGTTGAATGTGCAACTCAGCTGGTTATTCTTTGACCCCAGGGCACAAGTTTTAAAAGATGCTTATAAATTCAAAGATGGAGTTCCAATAATATCTAAATATGAAATATTTAGATATTATTGGATACACACATACAGAGTAGATGAATAAAGAATTATATTATAAACACGCATACAGAGAAGATGAATAAAGAATTAAAAAAACAAACTTTTTTTTTTTTTTTTGTATCTAGATTGAAAAATAAAAATCATTTTAAGTTAATCTGAGTTGACATAAAGTAGAAGATTCAGTTAGAGTGTTGCCATTCGTAAAGTAGAGAATTTAGTTAGAGTTTTGCCATTCATAAAGTAGAGGATTCAGTTAGAGTGTTGCCGTTCTTAAAGTAGAGTATTCAGTTACAGTTACTATTTATAAATATAGGTATATCAACAGCATTTTACAATTAATTAGCAGTAATTAACTGAGTTTTTTTTTTTGTTGTTGGTTAAAAAACCAGCCACTGTGAGCCCCAAACTGTCACAGAGTAGAGATCACATTAAAGATCAAAGAGTCTGATTTAAGTGATTAAAATGTGAAGACTTTTAGTCAAGATTGAAAAAAATAGTCATCAGCAAAATGTTTCTACTTTAGAGATTTTCAGAAAGATTATTAAATAAGAATCAACATAATTAACATAGATAAGAACACAGGATTATGGATGAAACCTTGTGTTAATAAATATGTACATACAGTAACCATACAACTAACTGCAGTATTAACCATATTAAGTAACCATACAATTAACTGTACTATTAACCATATTGAGTAACCATACAATTAACTGTAGTATTAACCATATTAAGTAACCATACAACTAACTGTAGTATTAACCATGTTAAGTAATAGTAATTGTATGCAGGAACAAACAAAAATTGTTTAATAGTATTATTTATAAAATATTAAAGTTTTTAACTTCCTCAAAAAGTTTTAAATAATTATCTATAGCTAAAAAAGTTTTAAATAATTATCAAATGCGGTAGTGGTGTAGTGGTAGAGCGCTCGCTTCATAAACGAGTGGTTCCGAGTTCGATCCCCACCACGTCCCTGGTAGTACCGCGCTTAACTCGTTTCTCCGCGCAGCGGCCTTGTTCGTCAAGGTTCGTGTTTCGGAGTTATAGAGTTGAGAGAGGGTTATAGCCACAAAATAAGTAGCCTCCTCGTCTGTAGTGGCCTTCTCGGCCTTGAGGAGGTGAAGTAAAATAAATTAAAAAAAAAAAAAAAGCTTAAGTATAAAACTGACAGTTTTAAATGATTATATAATTTTATAGAAAATATAAAAATATGAAACAGATTATCTGTGTTTTTGGTAACACTACTAGAGTAAATATGGGTAAAATAATTTTTTCTAAAAAAGTATTTTAAAATAGCTACGTAAGATGTATCCTTATCAGAAGCAATAAGGTGCAACGTAAATGAAAGCAACAAGCGTGAATATTGTTATTAAAATGTGTTTTATTTTTTAGGAGCTGAAATTAAATATTTTTGAAATTCCACATATAATAATGGTTGCCAAGTTATTGCACTTTTTAGCAAGGTGATTTTAAAGTATTTATTGTCACTAAAATAATGACTGTGTTACTTTTATGATTTTACAAATTATTGATGATGATTGATGATGATTGATGATGATTGATGAAATTTCCAGTACAATAGTTTGTTTTTTAAATGAAAATCTAGCATTATAATCTTCAGATCCATTAGCTCAATAGTTTATTTTTAATTGAAAATCTAGCTTATGATTTTAACATTAGGAAAAAGAGTCTAACAATTTTTTTTTTTAAGTTTACAATTTATAATAGAAATGTTTTTTTCCAAGAAAACTTTCATCCAAAGTTTCATTTTTTAAATGGTTAAAGCTTCCAAACTTTAAAATTACTGTCAAGGAGTTAAGATGAGAAAATAAGAAGTTACAGTTTTTTATTTTATTTCTACCTAATTTGCTTCTTGCTTCTCTAGTAAGCAGAATGGATGCTATTGATCCTCTTTATTGTGAATTGGTCTTCACATTTCTAACATGCAAAATATATTACTTGTCCTTTATTGTGAATTTGTTTTTGCTTCTCTAAAAGCACATTATCTGTCTTTTATATTGTGTATTGACTCTTGTTTCTCTGGCAAACAAGATATTTTATTACTTCCTCTTTATTACTTAAAGATTCCAATCTTTAAGCTATAAAGAGGACAAATAGAATATCTTGTTTGTTAGACACTTTTTTTACAGAAAGTTTTTTTGCATTTACTTTTTTACGCAAAGTAATAAAGTGTAGTCTGTTTCTTTTCTACTTTATAGATCTTTTACAATATTCACAAAGTGTTTACAAACTTGTTACTAGAATAAAATTTTGAGATTTTTTATTTGTAAACTTTTGATCCTTGCATTAGGTGTTATCATTACCAGTACTAATTACTATTGTTTTTATATTTTACTACTGCTCATTTAAGAATTAAGTCACTTTTTATGCTATTTTAAACATTTTTTTCTGAGCAATTTTAAACATTCTGTTCTGAGCAATTTAGCTCAAGGTATTAAATAGATAGTTTTAATATAAAGTTCAAAAAGTATAAACAGTATATTGATTAATTTTTTTTATTTAAACTTTTTAAATCCCAAAATAGTATTATGGTTTAAAAGTTGTTAGACTTTATGTTTTAAATTGTCCACAGGTTCTATTATTCTAACTGTAGCTGTGTCAGTGGGCGGATTGTCAACTGAGCTTGTTTTTTTATTTTTTTCTATTCTTTTTTCTTCTTTATTTTTCAGTGTTTGTATTCTGTTTTCAGTGTGTTTTCCTTGAAAAATTACTTAAAGTTATATGAAGAAGATTTTCCCGTCCTTAGAAGAAATACATTCTACACATTAACTGAAGGTATAGTTTGAACTGAAAAAGTTTATAAAGTAAATTGTTTGAATGGTTTTTATTGAATAAAGATGTCTTTGATCATATATCTTTAATCATCTAATTTTAACAATGTAAATTACCTCTTCATATGTAAACTGCAGTAGTGGTGTAGTGGTAGAGGGTTTGCCTCATAAGCAAGAAGTTCCAAGTTTGATTCCCACCAAGTTCCTTGTAGTACTGCGCTTAACTTATTTCTCTGCGCAGTGGCCTTGTTCGTTAAGGTTTGTATTTTGGAGTTATAGAGTTGAGAGAGGGTTTTAACCAAAGTTATGGTAGCCTCCTTGACTGTAGTGGGCTTCTTGGTCTTGGGGAGGTGAATGAACGTAAAAAAATAATTTAAAAAAAACAACAAAAAACCAATAGTTTTTTTGTTGTGACAGGTGAGGCTTTTTAGCTGTTGTAAAGGCAACTTACCTAGGAGAAGGAAAATTTGAATAATAACTCCTAATTTAATTATAAGTATAATTTAGTTCTGAGTAGAAAGATCTTGTAAACTTTAAGTATGAGTCTTTCTAATAGTATTATCACAATAAAAATACTCGTTTCTGTTCGGTGAAATAGACAAAAGCCAGGAAAGGCATATGGTCAAAGTTTAAAGAATTAAATTGAAAAAATGGAAAAAAAAGTTAATTGGAAAAAAAATCAAAAAAAAACGTGTGTAACATTGTAAAATTTTATGTATACAAAATACAAAAATTTATGTATTTATTTTATTCATTATTTTTCTAATTTTGTTAAGTTTTTATAGGGCACAGTTTTGTATTTAAAGCTGACTGTGAAAGTGTTTTCACTGCTATTTATGGAGCCTTTCAAGAAGCAAAGGTAAAAAGTTTTTTTTTCACTACTAATGCATAAGTTTAATTGTATTTTTTATTTGTCACCTCAAAGTGTGAGGACATTTAACAAATAAGTTCAGTTTAAACCAATTTGATAAAGTTTTTAGTGGGAGTCAACTACAGTATACACTTTAAAACATTAAAATTTTCAAAAAGATTTCATTTTTGAAAACTTTTTTGTATGAAATGATAAGAGCTCTGATCTACTTTTTTATTACTAATTTTATTACTAATTAATTTATTATTAATTATTTTATTACTAATTAATTTATTATTAATTATTTTATTACTAATTAATTTATTATTAATTATTTTATTACTAATTAATTAATTATTAATTATTTTATTACTAATTAATTTATTATTAATTATTTTATTACTAATTAATTTATTATTAATTATTTTATTACTAATTAATTAATTATTAATTATTTTATTACTAATTAATTTATTATTAATTATTTTATTACTAATTAATTTATTATTAATTATTTTATTACTAATTAATTAATTATTAATTATTTTATTACTAATTAATTTATTATTAATTATTTTATTACTAATTAATTTATTATTAATTATTTTATTACTAATTAATTTATTATTATTTTACTACTATTTAATTTATTATTAATTATTTTACTACTATGTAATTTATTATTAATTATTCTATTACTAATTAATTTATTATTAACTATTTTATTACTAATTAATTTATTATTAATTATTTTATTACTATTTAATTTATTACTGCTCAAGTCTTCATATACTTTATATATATAAACATTTTTTTGCTTATATCATTTAATTTCTCCTAGTTCAGAACTTTTCAGGTCTATAGTGACTTCAGCAGTACTCCATGGTTTTTTTAATTGACTATTACCTACAATTTTTTCTTATTAAGAATATAAAATTATTAACAATCTTATTTGCAAACAGCATTTCAGTTTATTTTAGGATATTGCAGATAAAATTGTAGTGCAGTGAATTCATTTCTTCATGTAACATGAATACACAATGATGCTCGTAAAAATATCTTTTTCAACATTTTTGTGATTTTAGAAAAAAATTAGATAAAAATTTATAAATTATTAATCTACTTCGTACTTTAATCAGAAATTTCTTTACATGCTTATTAAGTCTTTTAAAATTAAAATTTTAGCTTTACAATTATTTTAAATATATTTTAAAGCAGCTAACTGAAATCTTTTATAAATTATTTACATTTGTATTGACTATTTGAATGGTTTAAATATTACTGACTCTGCTGGCACTGAAGCTTATAACATCTGTTTTTCTCAATCTCTCACTTAAATAGTTATCTTTGTGATATTTTCCAGATAACCCTTATCACTTACCTTCAGCTTCAGTTTATATTTGGTTTATTTACAATTTAAATTTAAGATTTCTTGCACTTTTTTTTTTCAACACTTGGACTTAAATGATTAGTTTATCTTTTATGTAGTTTGTGGCTATAATGTCAATAATATAATGAACCGTGTGTACATTTCTAACATTTTTGCATTATGTCTAATAAGTCACGTTAAATAATATAATGAACTGTGAGTACATTTCAAACATTTTTGCATTATGTCTAATAAGTCATGTTAAATAATATAATGAACTGTGTGTACATTTCAAACATTTTTGCATTATGTCTAATAAGTCATGTTAAATGATGTTTTTGATAAATGCAATTATTTATCTATTTATCTTTTACATATTTTTATTTAAAAAAAGGTTTGTAAAAATGAAAACAATTCTTTTTTAGAGTTTTATTTACCATTTCTCTGAAAAATTATCCCACACTTTAGTCATAGTAAAGGTAAAAATTCTCAGTTTTAATTTATTTACTTTTTTTATTTATATTAAAGTTTTTAAAGTATTGTGTTTTTGTTCTTTTTTGATTGAAAGTTTTACTTTAAAGGTTTTTTCATTAATACTTACACTTGTTGAGAAAGAAACTGTTGACACCGAAAAATTGTTTTCTCAGCTGCAGTTAGATAGGTACAGTGTTATTATCTAAAAAACATTTCTACTTTAAATTTTTTTGATGTTTTTTAAAAGTAAAAAACAAAAATAGAAATAATAAAAAATGTTAGATATAAAAGAATTAAAAATAAAAATATATAAGTAATAAATAAATAATGAAATCAGTTGTTTTTAATATTTATACTTTTTATGATTAAACTTAACTACATAATGCTATTGGTAGCTTTTTGACATTCGAAACATATCAAGAAACCATTTCACTATGGAGTTTCTTAACATTTTTCAAATTATTCATTACTCTTAAAGTATGGTGTTGCATTGCTTTTCTAATTTCTGTATAACTAAAGTATTTGTTTCTAAAAACTTATTGCATTTTACAAGCTTTATGTAAATTCCTTTACATTATAAAATAATTAACTTTGCAATGTTTTCCAGACAATATCAATAACTTACTTTTATTAGTTGATTTGTGTCTGACCCTAGTTTTTCCTTGTTCTCTTTTTATTTTGTACTTCTTTTTTTTGGACTTACCTAGTACTACTTACTCTACTACCCTAAAGCTGGCTGGGATTCTTTTGGTGTTTTTCTTTGTGACAATTCTAAAGCTGCAATTCTTTCTGCTAATAAATGCACCTCCTACATAATTTCTTGTATCCAAGTTTAAACTCTCATTTGACTCTATAGTTTAAACTCTCATTTGACTCTATGGTAATCACCTTATGGTAAGCAACTACACAGCAGTTGCTATTTCTAATTGCAAGTATTTTTTTCATCTTCTTTAAACGAACAACTCTCTTAAGAACAAATACCTACTTATTATTGCAAAAAATCAATGTAATAAAGTGCTGTCTTGTAAATCTTGTACCTTATCTCAGATGTTAGGTTCTAGAGACTTGTAATTTGTAAATCTTCAACATTGTTATTAACAAAGATAAATCAAACATTGCATCTTTAATTCATAGGTCTGACCTTATTACCTATTCCAATTATAAGACAAAATTATTTACAAAGTAAAAGTCTTTTAGTCTTTTTAAAGTTTTAGTCTTTTTTCTAATTTAACTCTTGAATCTAATGGTCATCTAACTCTTTCTTCCATTTCACTTAAAATGGTTATCTCATCTTAAATCATCCTGAATTTTCTTGCTCAAGTCTTTTTTCAATTATACCTTTTTACATCTTGTGGTCCAGACAATAAATGTGGTTCATTTCTGTCATAATCTTCATTTTTCAATCACTTTTTTGAGAACAGGCAGTCAATCTTGAATCTGATCTCTCTTTTGTAACAGCTTGGAACATGCAGTGACTTGTGAATTTTAACTCAACCAAAACTCAGTTATTTACTGCAAACAACAGTTTGATCTCAATATTATTCATATTCCTACTTTAATTAATTAATGAACTTTGATTAATTAACCCTCTAACTGAGTCCTCTACTTTATGTCTTCTTGGATTGTCATTAACTGTTTACCTCTCATGGAAACCATATATATACAAACTATTGAAAAGTTTGGTGTCTGCTAAGATTGCTTCTCTTTATTATTCATTTTGGTTTTTCCTGATCTCTTATTCATTCCTGATCTCTTATTCGCCTCTGTAAAAAAACTGTTGTCATATTTGAGCTGGTTCTTTTAATGATGCTCTTTCTCTTCTAGACAAGGTCTAAAAAGACATTGTAAATGTAATTGAACATACCCTATCTGCCAAGCTTGAACCACTCTACTATTTTTTTAAGGTTGCACTTAAAGTTAATCTCTTTCCCTTTTCTACAAATATTGTGGTCGTTGTCTAGCATTCAAGATTCATTTTCCCTTGACTCATCATTCAGCAAAGTTGCTTCTTTTTACTTTATCTGTCCATGCTCTAAAAACCTTTCACTAGTTTTTCCCCCTATTTTCCCTTAGAAACTCTCTTCCATCTTCATGCTTTCCTAAATCATTAAATCTACAACTTTTCAAGTCTTCTGCCAACTGTTTCCTTGCTCTTTAACAATATTCTTTGTTTCTATGGTTACATAACTAGATATTTACTAAATTCTTTAGAAAGTAGGAAGTTCTAAGTTTTTTTGTAAAACAGTATCAGCTACAAAATAAATATTTTTTGTTAACTGGGTTATCTGTTTGTGTATATAAATATATATATTAAAATTTTTAGTTTAACAGTTTTTAATATGCAGTTGAAGTAATTAAAAGTTTTAGTTTAATAGTTTTTAATATGCAATTGAAGTAATTAATTACATTTGAAGAAAATTACATTTATATTTTAGCACATGCTGCCTGGTAGATAACATTATAAACACAATGATAGAAGAAAGTAAGTTAAATGGTTTTTTGATTGAATTAAAAAAAAAAGTTTGTGATCCGCATTTACATTTCAAAATAAAATAAAATTTTCTTTCAGAAACTAAAGCTGTCTGTATTTATAATACAGACATATATAATTTTGAAGAATAAGTTTGTACACTGTTGACATAATACCCGTGATTAAAATGATTGAAATGATGTAATACCTGTGATTAAAATGATGTAATACCTGTGATTAAAATGATGTAATACCTGTGATTAAAATGATATAATACCTGTGATTAAAATGATGTAATACCTGTGAATAAAATGATGTAATACCTATGATTAAAATGATGTAATACCTGTGATTAAAATGATCTTGTGAATCTTTAATGTAAACTAAGCTTTGTTATTGTAAACTGTTCTAATAATTGACTTGATTTAATTCTTTTGATTGGTGATTTTTGATTTTTACAATTCTTTTGATTGGTGGTTTTGAAAGATGTTCAAGATGATAAGAACATTAATTTTTGTCAATTCAAATTATATATTTTATAAAATTTTAACATCTTATTATTGTTAAAAGGTTTTAACAATTTTACATTTTATCTTGAAGTATAATTCTTGAAGTATTGTACATAGTTGAAAAAATTGGGCTCACAAGATGTTTGACTCTTTTTTAATAAAAAAAGTTTATTTCACTTATTTTTTTGTTTTGTTTTTTTATAATAAGTGGGTTTCTTAAATTGTAGAAAGTATCAACCAAACAACTGAGAAGGCACAAATCAGTCTATCTTCTGTTGAAAAAACTGAATCAAGTCTATCTACTGTAGAAAAAGCAAGTTTTTTTTGTTTAAATTAGAAGGCATTGGCTATATATTGGCTATAGGAAACCTTGTTACAAGATTTTGTTATATAATAAATACTTAATGCTAATAAAAATAGTAGCGCACTTTAAATGTGACTAAACTCAATAGTTTAAAATGCGCCATTAGCATATTTTAAAGTATTGGAATTAATTTTAATTTTAAACATCAATAAAATTTAGACAATAAAACTATAACAAAAAATACTGATGAAGTTTAAATTTGGCATTTAAAAAAAGGTTTTATTTTCTTATAGTTATTGCTTAAAATAAACTTGTATTTAACATAATCTTTTGTTTGCCTTATCACAATTTAGTTTTTTTTTTGTCTTTGTTTTTGTTTTGTTTTTGATTTTTGTTTATGCATTTGATGAACTGTTTTAACAAAGATTATAAATAATTTTTAGACTATCGATTACCAGTAAGATATTCATAAGCATCAAAACTTTACATGATATTACATTGATAAGAACTGAGATATTTTAAATCCATAAATAAAAAAAACGTCTATTAAACACTTCTCCTTTTCCTAAGACAAAAGTAAAGAGGGACTTCTAATGTGTTTACATAATAAATGAGCAAATAAAAAGAAAATACTTTCTTCTTTAATAAGAATTGCGAAACTGTTTTGCATTTTTTCAAAAAAAGTATTATTAAACAAATTTGTATGTTTATTATTGTAAATTTTTGCCTGTTAATTTTTGATAGAATTAAGATTTGGCAAATCTTATGTTAAACATTGATCTGTTAGGTCATAATTTTCCACTTTTTTCTGTAATAAGTGTCAGTTTAATTTACAAAAAACAGGCCCAAAACATTTTCAATTGGGTGTGATTGGACAATATTGACTGCAGAAAGTTTTTCATTTATGCTTTTATGAGTGATATTTGATCACTGGTATTGTACTATGAAGCGTATCTTGCTTTATAAGAGTATTTTTCTTCCAGTCAATACTGGACTAAGAGTTTAGTTGTTAATTTTTTCACATAAGTTTTGTTAAGTCTGAGACTTGTTTGCTTTTATTAAATTTGCTATTTTGCATGAGGGTGGCATCTGTCTTAAAAATGTGGAAGTAAAAAATAATACACCAAATCATCTGAATACCTTATAATATACCAAATCATCTGAAAAACATAACAGGAAACACAATTTCATTAACATCAGTAAGAAATCACATTCATTAAAGCTTTAGTTAAAAAAGATATAGTGATGTAAATGCTTGTAAAAAACCATTTTTAACAAAAAAATCATACAAAGAGAAGCATTATTTATATGTAATATAAAATATATTTAGTATTATTTAATGCCAGTATTATTTTATAAGAAAGTTTTTTGTCTGATGAATGCTGGTTTGCATAATAATATAATGAATTGAAATCTCTTGCTAAAAATATTTGATTAGGAAACAATTTTCAACAAGACAATAGTCCAAAGGACACTAAAAAACTGAACCTTTTTTCTATGAAAATGCCATGAATGTTTTAGAATAGCCTTCAATGAGCCCTGATTTCGATCCATAAAGCATTTATGAACTGAATTAAATTAAAAAATAAATAATAGATCATTTACAAAAAAAAAAAAAAAAAAGGTTTAGGGAAAGCTGTTGGCCCAACATTGACAATAATTAAATCAATATTTAGTAGAGTTATAACAAAAATGCTTGCTAGATATAATTAAAGCAAAAAGCGGACTTAACTAAATGTTAAAGTATAAAACATAAAAAACTAAATGTTATAGTTCAAAAAAATAAAAATAAAAATAAAAATAAAAAAGATTTAAAGTTACAGTTACATAAAAAATATTAGTTTTATTTAAATAAATTAACATTTTTTCTTAGGCTACCTATTACACTTTTTTTGTACAATTATTTTATGTGCAAGTATTTTTAGCCTTTTTCTTATATTTTTATATTCTTTTTTTACATCTTTTTTTAAATATTTAGTGTGGATTCAAACTTAAAGTCCTCACCTGTGGTAGTCTTCTCTGCCATTTTTTCAAAAATTTACAATACCTTTTTTTTTTTTTTTTTGTAATGTTTTTTTTTTGTAAAATTATAATAATATATATAATTAATATATTAATATATATAATATATATAATATATATAATTAATATAATTATAATATATTATAATTAATATTGAAGTTTTTATATGATTTTGCTCATTTTAAGACCCAACATAATGTACTTTTAAAGAACTTTGATAATATTAGCGACCCATCTAATTTTGTTAAGGTTTTGAGCAACCCCTAAAAATATTTTTTATTAAAAAAAAATTTAAATTGGGTATTATTTTATTATATAGAACACATTTAGGGGTTAAGAGATGACATTTACAAGGTTTTTTAAGCGCCACCTTAATATATATATATATATATATATATATATATATATATGTATATATATATATATATATATATATATATATATATATATATATATATATATATATATATATATATATATATATATATATATATATATATATATGCGTGGAAAACAAGAAATCATAGGCAAACGTCATTTCAACCGGCTAACACATGAAACTTGTGATTGATTATTTTTTTTGTTTGGTCAAAATTTTTATTTTTTTCTCTTTAAATTTTTGTCTTGGTAATAGTTCTTCACGACTTTTTTGTATATCAAAACAGTTTTTATAAAATATTTAAAAAATTTGAATACTATGAAATGCTACTATAAAAGTTACTTATATTAGATAAAAGAAAGTTTTAGGCAATACAAGTAGCAAGTGCAAACACGCAGTTGATAATTTTAAATTTAAATTTAAAAATAATTCATTTATTGCAACAAATTCGCAAATGGCAGTAAAAGCTACAAGAAAAATAAATTAAAACATTAAATTTAAAAAATGTATATTACAGTCGGAAGAGAAAATTTGTTTAGTTGCAAACAATAACTTTGAATGATAATAAAATTTTAATCTTTAAAATTTTAATCTTTAATCTTTAAAAAATGATTCTTTACACCAGTAAAATGAAAGTAATCTAAATATGTAAAGCAAAAAAATTAATAGATTGTTAATAATAATTAATAGTTTTCACCATAAAAATGACATCATATAATGCTTCTATAATTTGCTTTGTCAACAAAGCAAACTTTAAGAGCATATTTTTTTTTATTTAGGAACAAAACTATTTTAACCCTTTTTTTATATTTTTATGCATTTTCAAAATTACATCCTGATTATTTGACCTTTTTAAAAAACCTTGTTTTTTGCTGCGCTAATTTTTTTTAAACTGGTCAACCATGACTCATGGTTGATGACACAGGTTTTGAAGTAGAGGAGCACAATCAAAAATTTAAAAAAAAAAAATTCTTTATATCTTGACTTTTCTTTTAAAAAAAAAAAAGACCCTTTAGAAAAAAGTGGAGACTGATGACAACCCCCTTCCATGGTGTTGTTGAACCTGTGACTAACAAGAATTCATTTTTGGAGATCAAAATAGCAATTTTAGTTGTTTCAGGCAGTCTTTGTTTGACCAGCCTTTTTTTTCATGCTGATATATATATATATATATATATATATATATATATATATATATATATATATATATATATATATATATATATATATATATATATATATATATATATATATATTCTTATTAATTTGCTCTTCATTTAATCATTTAATCTATTTTTATTTAAACTTATTTCAAATTATTTTTAAGGTTTTACTGTTCAAGATATTGAAACACTTCCGATTGCTTACAAATTGCCAATTAAAGAGTTGTTTTATCAATACAAAAAAACAAATAAGTCAGAGATGTCAGGTGATACAGCTGCATATTTAAATCGTGAAGATATTGTTTTTTTGAAGAATGAAAATTGTCAAACCAGTCAAGATAAAGTGATACTAAATAGTGTTTGTTTTATGATATATTTTTTTTAATTTCTAATAAATAAATAAAAAAATATCTATTGAATTCATACTTTCATGGTTATATGATTGTTTTTGCATAGCTATATAATTGTATTTCCATGATTATTTAATTAAATAGGGTTGTGGTGTTATGGTTCAGCTCAAAGCCTTCTTTAGAGAAGACCTTAACACTGTGCAAGAATTTTTTTTGATTAAAGGTCGCTTTAAACAGAAAGGCTTAGTAAAAGTAGCTTTGCTAAGATAAGGCACACAAGATAATAACAAGATAAGGAGTCACCAGTCTGTTATCTATTATTATGTTTAATTTAAATTAAGTTTTAAAAAATTTTTTTATTTGTTGTTGTAAAATTACTTTATTGAAGCTAATTATTAACTTTTTGATAACTTTTAATAAGTTAAATAAAAACATTTTCAATTGAGATTTTTAATTTGAAAAAATTAGTAAGTAATGTAAAAAAACAATCAAACAATAAAATGTTTACATAAGCTTAATTTCTTTGAGTTTTTTTATTACTTTTGGGAGTGTAATACAAAGTTCTTCAAAAAAATGTTTGGCATTGTTTCTTTGAAATAGAAACAAAACAAATCTGCAACTCTGCAATAAATGTAAACTGCTTAATTAGAAATATTCTGGAGACTCTTTTATCTTATAAAGAAAATAATATGTAGCAAAATAAAGATTATTTAGATAAAGTGTCAGATAGAATAGTTAATCCTCCGCTATTTTAAGTATTCAGATGAAGTTCATATCTAATTTCTTAAGTGGAACACTTTTGAACATCAATATAGACAATAAAATACAAAAGTTTTTATATTCATACTATCTTCTGGTAAATTGTAAATAGTATCAATTTCCCTATCATAAATCTTCAAGACATAACCATCTTCAGTCATCTAAAGATCTGATTACGGGACTCATCTCTATATCTAAAATTTGCTCCTGGACATTTAACATTCACTATTTTCTAAAAATCTATAAACAACTCCAAAAAAAATAAAAGTATTATTGACACATTCTTGGTCTATTTTAGAATGAGTTTTTAGAGCTGCAACTGTCTCTTTGCTAAATACTTGTATTTAAGTGCTTACTTTTTGCAATTCTATTCGACTAGGATTTATTCATGTTTCAGTCAAGGGTGATAACTTTAATAATTATTTATTTCAAATGTATTTTTTTCAAGTGTAAGTTAAATAAATCTCTTCAATAATAAGATATCACCCAGATTTCTTATGCACTTCAATAGATGGATTAGTTTGAATTGGTCTAATTGGAAATCTGATGTTAGATTACTAACTTGTAAAACTCCTGCTAAAAATTCAGGTTTACCATAAAGACTTTTGACTGTAAATGAATGTACAATAGTAGCTAATTTCTCTGGATAATTTACAGCTTTTCCAAAAGTATTTCTGCTTTGATATAATAATCCAGCTTTTACATAAACTTTATTTATCAATATACAACATTTCTTTTTTTTTAGTTTAATAAAAAAAAAGCTCAGGACTTAAAAAAACTAAATCATATTGAAAATTTGTTTCTGAAGTTATATGAGTTCAAGTGGAACAACTTTTTTTCAAAATATTTAAAAGTCCAGGTTATTATATCAGCAGAATAAACAGATTAGCCAACAGAATGATCTCACATTAAATTTAGATGCTCAAATAATATTTGTTTTTTATGATCACTGATGGAGGATTAATTGGCCTCATTTTACCATGATATAAATCAAACTCATGATCAACTGACTAAACAATTTACAAACAGTGCTTTGTTTTGTTAAAGTTTGAGTGATGCATACTCATAAACCAATGATAGAAAAACCAATGATTGAAATTCAGATACTTCACAAGAAAAATTAATTAAGATATTTTAAAATCTGAAGACTTATATTTTAAGCAACAGTTTGGTATACAGCATTGTAAAGGCATCATAATTTATTTAATTTAAATTTTTCTTAAACCAATATTTTACAACTTTAGACAGCTTATTTAAAAACGGCCTTCTACAAAAAAGACGTTGGTTCAGCTCTTGCTTTCACGACGAGAGGTATATGATGCTAAACTGCCATGACCTGATGGAAGCTCTCTAGTTAGTGACATGTATTTAAGTATTAGGATTAATAGAGTAGTATAAGAGAGTTTTATAAAAACATGAATGGTGTTTACTTAACTGTAAAAGTTTCCTGGGGCTTAAGGTGGGTGGATGTTAGAGGTTAACATATTTTAAATAAATAGTTTGAATTTAAAAAGTATAAAAACATTTATTAGTTTATATGTGTTTTTTTTAATGTTTTGAATCAATCATTTTATAGAAAATAAATTCTTTAAATTTTAACAATTTTTTCAAATTTATAAACAAAAAAATTATATATATATATATATATATATACATACATATATATATATATATATATATATATATATATATATATATATATATATATATATATACATACATATATATAATTAAGTATTTCCATAATTAAATAACGGGTGATAACTAAAAAATGCGAAATTTTCATATCATAAAAACAAATGTTTAGAGAATGAAAATTATATTTATTTTAAATGAAGGGACACCACTAATTTTTAAGAAAAAATTAATTAACATTCGAATATGGTCCATCATCAGCAGTTCGACAGAAGCATTGTACAGTATTTATGTCGGTTTGACAAACATTGTTTGTTTCAGATAATCAGTTGTTTGCTATTCTTAGCTCTCCAGTTTTTTTCGTGTACTAACAAACTCAAATATCCAAAGAAATCTTCAATTGGGCGACACTGAGGCAAGTTTGTTGGATTATGGTTTATTGGTACATAAAGGATTTTTGGCTTTCCAAGAAGACATATTTTTTTGGCATAATGCAATGATGCTTTAACCAGCCAAATCAAGTAATTGCTATCTGAATGATATTTTCAAAGAAATGGAATCAATATTTTCTTCAAACATTGATTTTGGTATACTTCTTGATTAATAGCCAACCATTTGGCTTAAACAATTGCTTGGAAATTTCCGTTTTAGATATGGCAATTTTCAGCATCAATTTCTACTCAGACTTGCGTTTATATTTGTATATTACTTTTGTAGGTGTTGTAGAACTTTTATCTGCATAATATCAATCATTTCCTGGAACTTGCGTTTTGGAGAGGGGGAAGTAACTTTCATCATTCAAAACAAAACTTTTTCCAGAGTAATTTTGGGTCATCCAGCGACATTAAGATTTCACAGTTGATATTCTCAGTGTATTCTGGTGCTCTTGTTTTTTTCAGCAGACTATTCCTTGTTTTTTCAACAGTTTGCAGATATAAGGCTGCGTACACTTGAACTGTTTTGTAGCATCTCGTTGACTTTTTGAATCATTGTTGTTGAAAGCATCATGATGCAAACTTTTTCATTAATTTAGCTGGTCTTCCATTAACACTTTTACAATTGGTTGTTAAGGATGCTAAAATACAGTAAATAGTTGAAATTAGAACATTTTTTGTTTTTAAATGATTCACAGTAAACATTTTTCCGAGATTTTCATGCGTTTGATAGAACTGTACAATGCGTTCGCATAGTACATCTCCTTTTGACGGCATATTAAACACAACTGAATTAGCTGATGTAAAGCAAAACATATGACAAGTTTGTAAACAGAGAGAGTATAGTTTCACATAGGAGTACTTTTCTTTTTTTGAATTGGGGTTTGATTTCAGAGGGTTAGAATTATTCTCATTTTTTAGTTATCACTTGTTAGTATATCATTTATTTGTGTGTGTGTGTTTGCATGTGTACATATATATATATATATATATATATATATATATATATATATATATATATATATATATATATATATATATATATATATATATATATATATATATCATTTATATATCATTTATATATATATATATATATATATATATATATATATATATATTATTTATATATATATCATTTATATATTTATATATACAACTCTCAGAATTAGTAAATATGAGGTCAGCAATCATTTGCTTACCTTAATCTGTTAGAAGTTGGCATCAGGTCAACAAGAAAATTTGATACAAATGTTTTACTATAAAACATAGAAACAAAGTTGGCGACAACTTCAAACTCTCCTAGGATGGCATTGTCGAATGCCAACCCTAATTCCGAGAACTGTATAACTAAATTTTATATATATATATATATATATATATATATATATATATATATATATATATATATATATATATATATATATATATATATATAAACCTATCAATAATGATTTTAACCTAAAATCTAGGTTCAAGATAGTGATGGGATGTCCTTTGATAATGAGGTTTCTAAAATTTGTTTTAGATTATCATTTCGTTTTGATTCTTTTTAATTTTATTTTAGTATAAAATAATCAAAATTTAATTTTTTCTTTAGGTGCTTAAAGTTCGCTTTAACCAAGATTTGCGTATAGATGAAGTTAAGCGTTTACTTGATTCATCCAAACCAGTCACACTAAAACTGACACAAAAACTTGATGTCAAGTATGTGAAAAATTTAAAGATTTGCATTAAAGCTTTTAGTTTTTTTTTTTTTTTTTTTGACTGTAATAAAAAATTTTGATATTTTGTAGTGATCATGCTTTTGCTAAAGAAGAAGAATCTTATTTGGGTTTATTGTGTAATAGAACTATGTCATTACCAGTTGCAAGGTTCTATGTCTTATTCTATTTATTTTATAATTTTTGTAAATTTATTCATAGTTTGATAATTTTTTTGTAAATATTTTTATTTATAGAGGCATGTTCACATTGGGTACATCTAGTCCAATTCAATCTGAAGCTGTAGTTATACCAACTCTTGAGCTTTCTGGTTATTCTAAAACAAAGTACTTTAATATTTTCATTGCAGTTTTCATAATTTTTATTTTTAGCTTTAAAAAATAAAAAAGCAAAACCCAAATTAAGATATTGATGTCACCTGTTGTGACATCAATAACTTTATTTAGTTTTTAGTTTTATTTAGGCTTTCTTACAAAATCTTCAGTAATCATCTTTCAAATTATTTGTTGATTGCAATTTGATTATTCAACATTTAGACAAAAGTACTTTTATTTCAGTTTTAGTTTTTTGTTGTTGGTTGCTTTTTGCATAACTGCATTAATTGCATATTTAATAAATGTGTGGTATGCAAAATATACAAAATGGGTTCAGGTTTTGTATTTTTTATTTGAAATCTAAGTCACTTTTAAACCCCTAAACGACCAAGAGTTTAAACCATAAAAAAAAAGCGAAAACTTTATAATTGATTCATACTCTCGTGTGTTTATTAAACGAGAGAATGTGTTTATTAATTATTGGAAAATTTTCCAATAATTAATAAACACTCTCTAATATATTAATTAAACTAGAAAACAAAAAATATAGTTAAAGAACAAGGAAACAGAGCGCAGAAGACTTGTAAAGTTCAAGGTTGTATGAATCAAGAAAACATGAAGATAAAGAGAGAATTCTTAAGGAAAAAACTAGACATATAAAATTTTTTAGAGCATGGAGGAGCAGATACAGTAAAAAGAAACAACTTTGCTGAATGATAAACTCAGGGAGAATTAATCCTGGTTGATAAAATACAAGATGATAGCTAGTTTGAGCAACGACCACAATTTTGTTTGTAGAAAAAAGAAAGAGATTAACTTTAAGAGTGTAACCTTACAACATTGGGAGAGTGGCTCAAGCTTGGCAGATAGAGCATGTTAAATTATATTTACAATGCAATTATTATATACAATGCAATTAAATTATATTTACAAATTTTTGGACTTTGTCTAAAAGAGAAAGAGCATCATTAGAAGAACCAGTTCAAATATGACAACAGTATTTCATACAGAGATGAATAAGAGATTCAAAGAGCTAGAGAATGAAATCAGGAGCACCGAAAATGGCAAGAACAATAAAGAAAAGCAATCTTAGCAGATGGTAACTTTTCAATAGATTGTATCCATGTATGTTTTCCATGAGAGGTAAGTAGTGAATGACAATCCAAGAAGACATAAAGTAGATGTCTTAGTTAAAGGGTTGCCATTCATTTATTCGTTAAATAGGAATGTGAACAATATTAAAATCAAAACTGTTGTTTGCAGTAAATAACTGAGTTTTGTTGGAGTTAAAATTCACAAGCCATTGCATGTCCCAAGCTGTTATAGAAGAGAGACCAGATTCAAGATTCAAGATTAGTTGTCGTCAACTTTGTTTCTATGTTTTATAGTAAAACATTTGTATCAAGTCTCCAGTAACACTTTAGATGTAAGATTGTCAGGATCTTCATTAATGTTTATAAGAAAAAATACAAGGACCCCCTGACCTTTTAACTTTGAGGTACCCCTGAAAAAGTTCTTGAAACAATGTCAACAGGTGCAGCTCTTTGTTATAAGCTGGTACAATTTTTGTCCTCAGGGAAGATGAAAATATATCTTTCTAAAGATGATTTGGATTACATAATAACCTTATTTTGACTGTTAGAAAGACAAGATAATGAGGTTCAAAACATTGTCACAATATATTCAAAATAAAGCTTATTTTCTTTAAAGAAAAAAACTAAAAAAACTAAAAAAAAAATATTTTTTTTTTAAAGCTTTTTTTTTTGCTCTTAATCCCTGATTTTTACTCTTATATCAACAATTTATATCAAAATCAACAAAATTTTCCAAAAACCAATTAAAATAGATAAGAAAAAGTTTGCAGTTTTAAGACATGCATAAAGATGTAAGATTGCAAAAACCAGTGTTTACATCCCAAATCTCTACAAATGATGTTGAAAATATTTGGTTATTTTGAAGCTCTGCACTTTCCTCTTCGCATTTCTTTGCTTGTAAAAGCAGCTGTTTCTGATAGTGGTTTTAAAGTTTGTGAAAGCAAGGGTTACTAATAGAAAAGCTTTACCTAAACTTAACTCAAAAACAAAATTTTGAAACTTTTTTTAACAAAATTAAAAATTAGAAATAAATACATTTCTAATAACAAATTGACTTGTTTAAAACAAATAGTAATTTACATATCATTTTCCTCATTAAATAGCACTTGAGATAAATGTAATATTTTTTCTATTATATTTGTGCTAATCTGTTTAGTCAACTTAAATATATAATTTATCTTGAAAATAGTAAATCTCAAAAACAATACTTTCAAACAGTAAACTTATAATATGTAAACTTTAAATTAAGTAATCTTAAAACATTTATTTTTGATTTATTTGTTATTTACAGTTTGATTTTCACTTAAAAATTGCATTGCGTCAAGCTCTCCTTAACTTTGATGTACAGCATATCTTTCCGTGAAAAATGTCATTGCATAGTTTTAGAAATTTTCGTATAACAACGTGCCAGTGTGGCCGAGTGGATAGCGCCCTTAGCTTCTGAACAAGTAAGCACTAGGTTCGAGTCCTACCATTGAAAACTTTTTTTTTTTAAATTTTTTTCGACTTTTTTAAAATACAAAATACTTTTGAAGTTTTATAGAGTGTTTATAAAAACATATGTAACAATATTATACACTTAAACGAATGAAAAGATTTTAAAAAAGAAAATATTTTTAAAAACATCAAAATACAGGAAGAAAAAAATTATTGTGTATGTGTCACGATTGAGATACTTGTGTTAATAACTTGCTCAGGTAATTAGTCCTAATAAGCTGCGGATGGTCTGAAAAAAAAAGTTTTCTAAAACTTAATAAAAAAAAAAAACTTTTTAAAACAGTTGTGCTACTCCAAAAAGTGCTGCAAAAAAAAAAAAAAAAAAAAAGGCCCGTAGTTTGAAAAAACTTTGAAAATTTCTTTTGGCAATAAATAGTAAACTCTTTGTAAAACGTTTTTTAAAACAAATAATTTTAATGAATTTTTTTAGAACTTTTTGAAAATGTATTCAATAACGAATGTTTGTATATATGTATTGTATGTATTCAATAACATTTGTAGACAAAACCAAAAAAACAAAGCTTGTTTTGTAAAAAAGTCAAAAATGATATTTTTTACAGTGAGGCATTTTAAAAAACGGCTGCCGTATGGATGACAAAACGAATATGTTGAAATGAGATAATTTGATGCAAAATTTAAAAGTTCTTAACAAAAGCCACTAAACCAAAAGAATTAAATGTAATTGCAGTTCAGTGCTTAAAAATTTTAGTGAAACTATAATAAAATTTTTAGTAAAAAATCTTATTATAGTGAATATAGTAATTGTAGTTTAAAAATTTTATTATAGTGCGTTGGTTTTTGCAAAGAAACCTAAATCATTTTTTAATTTTAATATAAACTAATTTCTTTTTAAACTTAGTTGCGCTCAACCATCTTTATGTAAACCATGTATATATAATGTTTTTACATATATTGTTTATAAAATGTCAAAAATCCACTTATATAAGGTTTTATTCAGGATCGTATGTAATATTAGTAAACTTTTCTAATAATGACAATTCTTTTTTGCTCAAGCTGTTGTGTTTTAATTTTTTTAGTTATGTTATTATATTTAAATAAATTGACAAGATTGAAAAAACACGAAACAACTGTCACTTCCGAGTGGAAAATTTGTCACTTCCGAGTGGAAAATTTGAAACTTCAACTTTAGATTTGCTCCTCTCTTAATAATTTCTGATTGCTAAAATTATGTCATGTACTTCTTAGACCTTTAAAAATGATAGTTCAATTTTTTTTAAAAACTCTATTAAAGTTATATGGAATATATTTTTGAGGATATATTCTAATAAAGTCAAAAAATATTTATTTATTTCTATTGTAATAAATACAATCTCTTATCTGTGAAAATAATATATCTGTACCAGTTTTATATATTTTTATGCATTTGTATGCAACATAATGAAAATTAATTTTAAAAATGTAAGATAAATGCAAAAGGAAACTTGATGTATAAAGGTTTGTTTTGCCACTAACTGACATCAATGCTTAAAATCTTTTTGGCTTAACTTTTAAACAAAACAGTACTGATGACAGCGCATTTAACCACTGAGCTATCAATGAAATGCATTTAGCAGAAAAAAAAATCTAATTATAAGTCTCTTATAAGCTCTACGTATGCGGTAAAGGTGCGCATGTTAAGTTTTTTGTTCTTTATTTTTTTTCTTCAAAATAAATTATTTTACTAAAAAACATTGAATAGGTATAGAAATAATCGGCGAGGAATAGATATGTCAATTGGTAAAGATCTGTATTTTACGGATCCGGAAAGCTAGAATGTATAAGTAAAAAGTATAGAAAATTTCGGTTTGGAATAGATATACAAAGACCCATATTTTTCGTATCTGATCTCATTTAAAAAGTCAGTAAGTATTATTATTTTATAATGAAAACTAATTCAAAACTTTTTTTTAAACTTATTTAGTTTATATTAATGTACAATTTTAAAAATGTTTTTATTAAGAAGAAATCTTGCATGTGCATTTTTTAATCAAAAAATGGTTATTATTTTTTGGTTTTATTTATTTTAGAAAAAACATTTAGAAGAAAAAAAATTATAATCAAAATATTTTGTTGAATTCCTATTTTTCATTTTTAGTTAAAAAATGTTATTTTCTGTTCACTAAAATCTAAAATAATATTTTTTTTATAAAATCATACATATTTTTGAAATTTTTATACATACTTTTAAAAACCTTTTTATTATAATATTAGGGAGCCATTTATGGTCCGTAGCAACTTCTAAAAATAACCTTTATTTAAAAAATCTATTAAATCCAGTATTATTTTAGTTGATTCCACGAATTTGTCACTGTTGTTGCCAAATTTGAATAATATGAAAAATGTTATAATATATATATATATACAAATAGTCCATACATCAACTATCTTATAGCGGCTACATCAATTGAGGTTTTGGCATGGGGCAGCAATCTTTTATTTCATTTTTTCTGATTTCATCAGAAAAAGAAATAAAGAATGAGTAATAATGTATGGTAAGTTTGTTGTGATTTTAAACAACAGTTAAAATGTTTTGGCTAAAAAACCATAATTAGTTTTTTCTTAAAAATAAAAATGAAAACATGAAATTATTTTACATTATAAGTTCACATTTAAAAAGTCAGTTTTTTCCCAAACACCCATATCTTATCAGAAATCTCACCTATATCATCTATATCAGAAACCCTAGATGTAGTAGTAGTGATAATAATGTAAATAATTATTTTTATAGTAGCAATTATTTTATTTTAGCAACAAAACTGTAGCAAATAATTTTAATGACAATGCGTTGTTGTTATGGCCTTCTTTCCATAATGGTGTTGCTGCTGGTTTAAAAATTGCTCCTAGTGTGTCACAGGTTGTTTGCTTTTTGTATAAATAGTCATGTAATTATACTTGTATTGATTATGTGTCTCTTATTTTCTTTATCACCATCATTTAATAATGGTTTATATACTAAATAAATGAATTCATTAAAACATCATTAAAAAATCTTTTATATGCAACTTGTCTAATTTAGTTTAAATAAATTAACTTCAAGTAGTATTACTTGTTTGTTTTTTTATTATTTCTATTAGTAATTATTTAATATTAGAATCAAAATGTTTCTGCGGTTTGTTACTTTATTGTTGTGAGGGTTTAGAAGTTAAAACTTTTAAAAGTTTACTATCAATACTACTTTATTTTAGTTTATTATTATTACTATTTTAATTAATGAAAAATCTGAGCACAACTTTTAGACAATGCATTTAAATTTAATAGAAAAATTTAATAGAGGCATATAAAAAGATTTTTATTACTCATGTTTTCTCCGAAACTTTTTTGATTTTAACTTAGGTTTTAATATAGTAGAAAAACATTATTTTGAGGTACATTACACAATTAATAACTCATTTTTTTCAAAAAATGGAGATAGAACAAAGTAATTCTAACCTTGCGATATGTTACGTACTCTCTTTTGTAAAAGTCTTCTGACGATAAGATCATTGTGATCTTCTTTTAGAAGCCTTGTTTGTATTTGAAAAAATATGTAATTTATATATTACGTCAAATGTAAACAACAAACAAAAAAAATATATAGATAGATAGCTGTGTATAAAGGAAAAATAAAAAAATGTTATAAATTTTTAATAATAGAAAAGGTCTTGCTTTAGAGATAAAACGAATGTTTTTAGAGATTTTCGTATTAATGGCATTTATGTGAGATTTTCAAGATTGAAGTAAAGTGATTTATTTAGATAAATCCAGTTAATATTATCTAGTTTGACTCTTGAATTATGAAGGTCAAAAAGGGTTATTGTTATAGACAAATTAATCTTGTCAAATATATTTCTCAAACTTTCCTAAAATTGTAAAGCCTATGATTCTTCTGGATTTGACTAAACTTGCTATAAGGTTAGTTACTTGTTGTGCCAGGTATATTTCTAAAATTTACTTATATAAAACCTATAACTAAAACAGGTTTTGTTTGATTGACATGCCATAAAATTGTGAATCCATTGTCCATAATTTAAGAAATTTATTTCTTAAAAAAGAAATATGCTTCTTATTTTAAGCTTCACAGCAAGATTGTAAATTCATTGTCAATTGTTTAAAAATTTATTTTATAAAACAAGAAATTTATTTCTTGCTTTGCAAAAAATAAATATTACTTGGGTGAAATTGTGAAAAAAAGTGAGAAAATTCTTTTCTTAAATTTTCACTAAAATTTTATTTAAATTTTCTAGGTAGGCTCTACTTGGATACTTTTTAACAAACTTAAATCAGCTGAAACTGCAGCTGACCATGCAGGATTTTTATATGCTCTTGGATTGTCTGGTCATTTATCAGTACTACCTAACATTTATTTACACGACTATCTCATTAAAGTAAGGTGATATTTATGTAACCAATTAGTAAATACAATTTGTTAGGTTTTTTTATTAAATTAAAAAAATTTTTTTTATCAATATATATATATATATATATATATATATATATATATATATATATATATATATATATATATATATATATATATATATATATATATATATATATAATACTCCTTGAAATTGCAGTGTAAGAAAAACAGTGTGGACATAAAATTTTATAAACTTTATGTTTATAAACTTATATATTTAAAAATTTTGTTGACAGGCTCATGATTTAACTACAATAGCACTTTTGATTGGTATATCATGTACACAGTTAGTCTTTATATAATTTTTTTATGTTTTGATTATAAATATGTGTATTTAATGTGTATTTTTAAAGAATACCTATTGTGTTTGTAAATAAATTTAGTAATAGTAACATGCAATATTTAGAATTGGATCAAAAAATTCAGACATTTATAAAATTATTAGTCTCCATCTTGACTCGCTACTTCCACCAACCAGTTTGGAACTTTTCATCCCCCAAGTTAGTCAAGTTGCTGCTATTATCTCACTAGGTTTACTCTTTTTTAACACTGGAGACAGCCACCTTGCTAAAGTTTTAATTAAAGAAATCGGACGGGCACCTGGTTCTGATCTGGAAAGTTCTTTGGATCGTGAGAGTCACGCCTTAGCATCAGGATTTGCATTTGGAATGATTATGATTGGGGTATTATTCATTGTCATTTAAAATTTTTTATTCTATTTTTATTATGAATATTACTTAATTATTTCCCTCTATGTTTTAAATATGGGCTTTCTTTTTATTAATATTATTTTGTTTTGTTAGCAAGGAAAAGATACAGTACAAATTGCAGACCTGAATGTTATTGATGCACTGTATCACTATATGTTTGGCGGACATAAAAGAGATCAGGTAATATCTGATGCAGAAGTTATTAATTTAATTTTTCTAGTTAATTAAACAATCACATGGTTTGACCCATGTTAGCCATGGCATGAGACTTATAGTATTAGTTTTTAACATAAGTTTTAAACCATTTTGTTTTAAACCATGAAAAATCTATCAAATGTTTTTTTACTGTTTAAAACAAATTTGTTTAAAAAGAATGTAAATGCAGCACAATAAGAATTTTTACAAAAATGTCATAACAAAAAATATAAAATAGTGAAATTGCAATTCATTTCAAAAAATAAGGAATAGCATAAAATACAATTTAAAAGTTGTTCAAATGACAATTTTTTATATTATGATAATATAATTATATATATATATATATATATATATATATATATATATATATATATATATATATATATATATATATATATATATATATATATATATATATATATATATATTATATGTATGTTTGTTTCTTAGTTTTATTATGAGCCTTCTCAACAAAGTTGTCAAATTCAGGTATATTTTTTATAAAATAGTTTTTAAAATAGTGAATTTTATTAATAGAATAGATTTTAAATTGGATTTTTTTCTAGGAAGGTGATTTAGTAAACACAGATATCACTTGTGTTGCTGCTGTGGTTGCACTTTCATTATTGTACTTAAAAACAAATAACAAGTAATAACCACTTTCAGTATTTTTGAACAAATGCTACTTTGATATTATACATTGCATAAAAATAATATAAAAATAATAGTTATTTTATATAAAAGTTATCATTTGATAATGAATATTTATCAAATTTGATTAGTTGTTAATTTTTATTAACAACTAATCAAATTTGATAAATATTCATTATCAAATGATAACTGATAAGTTGTTAATTTTTATTAACAACTAATCAGTTAAGCTAAGAGAAATTTGACAAAATCTGAGAGCCTGGATAACAATTGATAACGCTAGTTATCAATTATGTTCCAGGTAAACACTGTTAATTTTTTTAATTTATTTAGAAAGTACATTAATATAAATTTATATTTTTTCAATAGTTCCATCAAATAGTTTTCATCATCTCTATTAAATTATTAAAATGTTTTTAATTGAAAAGAAAAAAAGTAACTATTTTTAAGTTGTGGATAAAAATAACTTATTCATGTGATCTACTTTGTCAAATATACCACAATTGTGCAAATATAAACTGATTCAAATATGAATTGATTCGAATTTGAAAAAATTTTTTTTAGGCATGTTTCTTCTTGGTTTAAGTGTCCTATATCTGAAAAACTTTTTGATACAATGAAACCTGATCAATTGCTTTTAAAAGTAAGTTTTAACTATGTGTTTATTTTATTTTTAAAAGTTATGTTATTTAATGATAAATTCCTTTAACATTCTTTTTTTTACATATATAAAAATGTGAAAATTTAATTTGTTTTATAAAGGTATTTTCATTAAATAAAATTTTATTTAATGAACTTGAATTTAAAAGCAAAAAGTATACTACTGTAAATAACTTTTACTGTATTTATACCGTCAGATACTTGGATCTAGATAGCGTTAATGTTAAGTAAGTCTGGTAAGATAACAAAATTAAATGCTTATAATTTGTTGTTTTAGTGTATGGCTTATAATTTTATTATGTGGGATGAATTAGTACCTAATGAAACGTGGTTAAGAAGTTTTACTGTAGAGGTTTTAATTTGTTTGATTTTTGGTTTATTTTTGATTTTTAGTTTTTATACATTTTTATTAATAAATTATTTGAATAAAATTTATTAACATTATTATTAATATTACTATTATAATTGTTGTTATTATTAATATTATTGTTATTATTAAATGTGTAAGCAAAATATAAAACATAATATAAACTATATTACATTTTTTATTTTTTTTCAATCTATAATAAAGTGAAAAATAGTAGTAAGGCAAAACGATACAATAGGTAAAAAATCTATATCTTTTTAATATCATTTTTATTATTTGTAATACATTTAGTAATGATAATTTTGTTTCTTGCAATTGAAGTTATAAAGTGTTTTTTTTTTCACCAGTCAATTTTGTTATACTTCCATGGGTTTTTTACTTTAACTTTTTAATTGTATCTTTTCTATAGTATAGTGTAGGTCCAGATGGTTCTCTTAAGCTTGATGAGGCACCAGAGATGTAAGGTTTTATAATTGATCATGTAACTTTATCTTTTTTTTTTGATCGTTTTAATTGTTGAATTTTTTTGTTGTTCAAGCCAATACTTCACCATATACATTGTTGCTGGTTGTTTTCTTGCACTCGCAATAAAGTTTGCAGGAAGTCATAATACAGCTGCATTCAATTTAATGGTAAGTTTATCATTAAGTTGCATAAAAAATATCTTTCAACATTCAAACTTTTTATATATAATAATTGTTATTATTATTGCATATATTTTTAAATAAATTTAAAGTATGGCTGATGATTGCCAATAGGCATTAAATTTTATATATATATATATATATATATATATATATATATATATATATATATATATATATATATATATGTATATATATATATATATATATATATATATATATATATATATATATATATATATATATATATATATATATATATATATATATATATATATATATATATATATATATATATATATATATATATATATATATATATATATATATATATAGACACACATACACACTTATCTAATATTTTAGTTTCCATGGTTACAACTTGTAAAGAAGACTTTGAATGCAGCTTACACTTTAGAGGTTTAAAAATGTTTTTTGAATTGAACTTACACAAAAAAAAGTTTTCAATGAGATTACCATGTTAAGAATTTTTTGTGTAAAGTTTTTAAAATATATTTATTTGTTTAGAGTGGTGTTTGTGTGACTTTAGAGCAAAGCTTAGATACAATTCTTTTGGCTTTATGTTTGGTTAGTGACTAATTTAAAAAAATGCTATATTCTGTATATATATGTATATTGCAAGTTTTATTGTTAGTCTATTTCTAAATCACTTCTTTTTTTGATAATGTTAGAGACTTAAGGGTCTTCAGCAACAAATAAAAAAAATATTTTATTTAAAAATATATTAAAAAAAGTCTAAACATTTAAAAAAAGAGGTAATTAAAAATATTTATACTTTTTTTTATGTACTTATTACAACACATATATATTAGTTAATATATATGTGTTTATGTACTTATGTGTGTATTTATATTATAAATATTTGTATATTTATACTATAGGTATACAAAAGTTCCTAAAAATATTTTTTTGTATAATTCTTAGGTAATGGCTGGCTCAGGCAATATTAAGCTTTTGCGTTTTGCTCGTCAGCTTCATAAACGATGCTCAGTTGATGTAACTTATGGAAATCACATGGCAACACACATGGCTATTGGTTTTTTATTTCTTGGTGGGGGAAGGTACTTAAAATATAAATTAATATAGTTATAGTTCTTGGTGGGGAAGGTACTTGAATATCAAATAATATATACAGTTAGTATAATTAGATTATGTAGAACATATAATATATGTAGTATTTGGGTTGCAATGTATTATTTGGGTAGTGGTTACTTTGTTATTATTTATTTGTTACTAGTTATTTGGTGTCTAATTTTGCTTTATTTTGGGTTTTATTTTTGCTTTATTGTTTTATTGGTATCATTAATATTAGCTAAGTGCTCTAAGTATTAGCAACAAGATTGTTAAAAATGTCTAACTAGATAGTTACTATCAATTTTTGGATGAAAGCAGTCGTGATGATCTTAAATAGACATAAAATTAGTCATTTTTTTTTTTTTGGTCAAATTTTATAATTTGGATATTTCCTTCTGTCATGAAGTGAAATTAAATAAAAAAAAATCTTGACTTATTTTTAAAAGGCTTCATATTTTGGGGTATTTTTTGTGTACATTTAAAAAGTTTTTTTTAAGATGTAAGCATTAGGTCAGTGGTTTACCCTCTGTTTTTTTCCCTGTCAACCTGCAGATGACTGAGTTTTTATTTCTCATTTAGTTTTTATTTCTCATTTTGTTTGTTTTTTCAGTATTTTTTCTCAAGTGAAAATACTCAAAAAAAAATTTAAACATCTGACTACTAAAGTATGTCTAATAAAAAAAAGTTTCATTAAAGTTAATTAATTTAAAAAGACTGAAATGTTATAACCTGTTAAAAAATACTGTTATTAACAGTATTTTTACTTTTTACCAATATCTCTTTGTAACTAAGGTTACTTGACTTAAGAAACTTTAGTTACAAAGAGATATTGATAAAGAGATAACTAAAAATACAACTTTTAAAGATCGTCATTTTTATTGTAGTCAACATCTGTTTTGTGTCGTTTTTTTTTTGTCAATTTTAACAAAAGTTTCATTACGCGAAGCACAAAAGTTAAAACCAAAATTGTAAAGGAACACTTTGAAAAAAAAAAATATTATAGTATTCTCCCTCTATCTTCAATCAAATTTAATTTAGTTAAATATTGAAAACATTATGTTTTTAATGTATTAAACTTTTTTATTTTACTTTTTTTTTTTTTTAGAAAAAAACAATTTCCACGTACATCTTAATAATGTTTTTTAATTTGGTAATTTATTTTACATAATTGAAATAAAAATTTATTTAAAATCTTAATGAAAAACAAAAGAGAATCAGTGTTATTTATGATTCAATGTTCATGTGGTTTAAAATACAACTATAAGGTTTAAAAAATGACAAATAAAACATGCTTTTATAAGTAAGAAAATATCTGATCATCCTGCCAGGTTAGTTACAGGCATTTTTTAAATTTCAGTTGCCCTTTTAGAAAACGAATTATTATGTGCCACAGAACGACCATGAGGGTACACCCTTGTAGGTAGCGAGTTCTAAAAATAGACATGTTAGTGTTTTAAAGCATTTCCTAGAGTTTTTTCTGGTTCTTTAAACTACACATTTTATTTAAAACATACAAAATATTTTATGAAATATAAAACCTTAAATTGTTAATTATTTGCATAATTTCAACAGTTTTAAATGCAGTTTTAAAATCTTTTTACCCTCAGGTATACCTTAAAGACAGATAATGTAGCAATTGCTTGTCTTTTGTGCTCTCTTTACCCTAAATGGCCAATTAACAGTAAAGATAACTTGTAAGTTAATTTTTTTTTCAATAACTAAGTTGTTAAATTTTTGGGTCATATTATATTTTTTAATATAATGTTTTTAGGTATCACCTGCAAGCTCTTCGACATCTATATGTTTTAGCATGTGAACCCAGACTCTTTGTTGCTCGGGATATTGAAACAAAGCAGATATGTTTTGTTCCAATACAAGTCACATATAAAGTTTGATTATTTGCATATTATTGTTTTTATAAACAAATAATTAAACCATTAATTGTTATTTGATTTTTTTTTTTCTTCTCTTTTTCAGGAAACAGATTTTTATCCTGAAACAGCAGTGAAACTTATGTCTCCCTGTTTCTTACCTGAGCTTGAATATGTAAAGGAAGTAAGTTAGCATAAAAAATTTTTATTGTATATATTTTTTATCTTTTTTCACGTTTTATGATCTTAAAAATTTAAATCAATGGTACTTTCTAAAACATAAAAAAATAACTAAAAATTTTACTTTTGTTTTTGGCAATTCCTTTATAACTTTATTCCTATTGCACTCAGTAAAAATAATAAAAATAAAATAAAGCAAATAAAGGAAAAAAGGTAAACTCATTGGTAAAAGGATAAGTACCTACTTTGTTTCGTAATAAAATAAAATAAAATTGTTCTCCTCCAAAAAAAAAAGAGCTCTTATTTTATTTAGAAATAAAACTCAAAATAAATAAATAATTATAACTATAGTATAAAGTAAATAAATAATTATAACTATAGTATTAAGTAAATAAATAAATAATTATAACTATAGTATAAAGTAAATAAATAATTATAACTATAGTATAAAGTATAACTATAATATGAATATAAATTTTGACAGTTATAAAAAAATGTTTCAAATTAAAAAATGAAATTGCTTTAGTGCATTGGTAGTGAATTCTAGTTGTTGTTGAGTTATTTGGTTGTGAACACTGTTGTGAAGGTATTTAATAGTGAACACTGGTTATTGTGGATAGTATTATTTGATATTAAACATTTGTTGTTGTGGAGGTATTTGGTAGTAAATACTGGTTGTTGTGGAGGTATTTAAAAAATATTTTTTGATTTGTAAAATCATAAACTTCATTTTAGGTTTCTATAATAGGGACAAGATACTGGCCAATAATTTTCAACATTGAAAATAACGTTATGTAAGCAAATAGTTAAATAATTTTGTTTGAAATTTTAATAACTTTTATTACTTAAAACTTACTTACGTTACTTTTTTTTAGCAAATTTAAAAATGAAATGTTCAATATATATGTTAAAAAAAAAGCTGGTTATCTTTCGTACTCAGAGGATCCAAAGGTATAAAATTAAACATTTTAAAGCTGATAATATTTTATATAATTATCTTTTTTTTAATTTTTTGAAAAGAGATTTAATTTATTCATTTTTTTTTTTTTTAATTTGAACTTTTTTCAACTTTTGATTTAGTTTATAAGATAAAATGATATTAAAAATAGTTATCTCATGACAATGAACCACTAGTCCAACCAATAGTTACTAAATTCAATTTTTTTTTTACTGGCAGTAGAAAAAGTTGTAATATAAACAAATTTAGAAGTACACTGTCATGAACTATATCTAGACATATATCATGTATAAGAGACTGGGTTTGCCAGATATAAATAAAAGTAAATAAAAATTATTTTTGTTAAACTATTATTATTACTACATCATTATTAGAATAATTGTGTAAGATTTCTGTAGTTGTGTAATTGTGTAAGATTTGTGTAATTATGTAACTGTGTAAGATTTCTGTAATTGTGTAAGATTTATGCACTGTAGTGCAGAAATCTTACACAGTTTACAGCAATTTTGAAATGTAGTAACTCAAATAACTATTTTCTTGATTTTTGCTATAATAAATATTAAATTAATAAAAATATTTGCTATATATGCAATGTTTCTGCTTAAAACACATTTTTTTTAAACATATTCAAGATAAGAAATTTGACCTAATCTTTGCTTTTGTGTGAAAAAGTTTTGAATAAATTAAATCTCTTTTCAAAACTTTATTGTTACAATGTTTTGTTTTTTTGTGCATGTAATTTACTATCCACACTTCATGTGGATAGTTAAATTACATGCACAAATCATTCTGCAAGTTTTAAGTGTTATTTTGCTGATATGCTGTACTTAATGCAAAAAACCAAAATCCCATTATATGGAATTATGGCTTTTTTTTTTTTAGCTCTATGGGTGTTTGTAACGTTCCTGATACCTGGCTTTTGCATAAAACTATACTATTATGTAAAATGCTAAAAACATTTTTGTATGCTACATACAAAATATTTGTTGTTTACTATATTTGTGATAGAATAAAAACAATTTTTAAAAAAATAAATTAACCAAATAAAGAATTAAACCCTTAAAATTGCAGCTACATTCTAAACATATCCCATACCAATAGATTTTGTAAAAGGAATCTTTAAAATGAGTAAATTAATTTAATAAAAACAAATAAAAATCATAAATGTAAAATAATAAAAATAGAGTTTTTAATAATAAATTATTTGTTGTTGAGCAATGCACACCAAAGTTATGTACAAGAACAAAGTTATGTACATGGACAAAGCTATAAGTATTAATGCATTCTTTGACTTTACTAAATGCTAAATAATTAAAAATTAATAAAGAATAATTTTTTATTATTAATAATTTATTTTGTTACAATAAATCCTTCTACTTTTCTTAATTTTTGATTTGTTTTTTGTTTTTTATATTTTGCATGATCTGTCAAGGCCCAATTGTTGAGAGTTTTATTGACCAATTGGCTAACTATACATCTTGCTTTAGTATCATTTGTAAGATCTTACTTTACCCAGTTTTTAAAGTTATCATTGCTTAACTAGCCATTTTAAATTGTCTCAGTTCTTCACTTTTTTATTTCTATCTAATTCCATATTTATACTAATCTAAATAATGTTAATCTAAATTTAAAATATAAAACTTTAAAAGGAATAAATACTAATAATGATTAAATACAAATTAATCTACTAAACAGCAAATTTTTTAGATTAAAAAGAAAATCTGGTTTTTTTAGCATCAGTTTTGCTCAAAGTATACATTTTCCAGTTTTTCCAGCATGTTTTTCAAAAATAGCCTTTTTTCCAGATTTTCCAACAGAGGGGACACCCTGACGTTACACTAAATATTAAAAGACCTGTGTTTTGTAAATAGTCATAAAAGGCTAGATGACAGAACCTAGATATACAAAATTAACACCTCTTGGCACTAAATGCTGTCACACCTCTGCTAAGTACATCACTAGCCAAGCTGTGTGCTAAGCAGAGGTGTGGCAGAAATAAGTGACAAGAGGCGTTACTGTTGTAAATCTAGGTTGGCAATCTTGCTCTACACCAATTTGCTTTTTTTTTTAAATAGAATTTTACTTATAAATAGTAGCTGGCTAGTGTAACAGTCTAGCTCTACACACACTGCAAGTCACAACACTTGTGTGGCTAGTTTCATGGCCTAGCTCTACACAATGTGTAGAGCTAGGCCATGAAACTAGCCACACAAGTGTTGTGTTATAATCCATATGGCTATGGATTATAACACTGATAACAGGAGATAAAAACTGTCTCCTGTTATCAGAAAGTTTTTTTAGATAAAAAAGTAGTGTTTATTGGTAAAACAATAATTGTTTATAAATTAAGTATATTTGTAAATATAACATTGTTTGTATATTATTTATTAAATCATTTAAAAGTTGTTGTTTCATTAATCCAACTTTTGGAATTTTATATGGAATCTTTGGAATAATATTATTTCTTTCTTATAAAAATCATGCAATTTATAAGTTTCTTAGTAATTAAAAACACCAAAATGATTAAAATGCTAAATATAAAAATAACTGCAAAAATAAATACAAATTCAATGATATTTAATTTAATCAATATTATAAAAAGTTTTTTAAAAAAGGTCACTGCACTAAAGTCGACAATAATTAACAACTTGTTAAGTTTTATCTGTTTAAAAAATAAAAATTAAGTTTGGAGTAATTAAAACAAAACAAAAATTAAATTTAATAAAAACTTTCTAATTCTGTTTTGTTTTTTCTAGTTATTTATCAACTCTTTTACATAGTTAAAATTAAAATGCAACAGCAGCTATTAGTTAATTGTATACATATATAAAATTCCAACTTAATAAATAATGAATGATAAAACTTACTAAAATCGGTGTCAGTTTATCTTTCTATATAATTTTATTATAATAAATCTTTTTAATTTTAAGCAAAACAAAAAATAATCTTAAATTTTCAAAAAAAATTTATAAAACTGAATCAAAAAGAAACACTTTACTATAAAAACTATTTTACCAGTCATTTTAGTACTAACTTTTTTTAAGAAAAACATTCTAAACAGACTAAAAATAAATAAGAAAAAAAACAACCAAAAGCAAACAATTGTTTATTTATTAAAACTTTTTTTTATTGTAAAATTAAACAAAAAGCAAAATTTAATTTGCTTGCAGACCTTGCTTGAAAAACCACATGAACATTAAGAAACTTATTCAGAAAACCTAGTATCTACTTATAAAATTAAGACAATAGTAGTATTAATATTTAGATGAATTAACTTATTAAAAAAAATTTGACCAGAAGTGCGTTTAAGTTCCTGGTTGGAAATTTATAACAAATCATTTATCAGGCTGCCTACGTAAATCCTTAGTTGTTGTAACACTGTGTCTATATCAGCATATTTTTTTATTAAAAGGTTGTCTCCTCAAACTAAAATCTTTAATTGTATGTACCTTATGAAAACAGGGAACTTGGAGGTACTTAGTTTTACTTGGAGTCTCAAAAATTTTAAATCTCTATAAGGATATATAATAAACAACACTCTAGAGGGAACAAATTTATTAATCTTTTAACAATTAAGCCAACATGTGTTGAGTTAAAGTTTTTTCTGCTGCTGCAATAATCTATACCAAAATAAAATCTAGTTTGGATAATAGTTAAAAGGTTTGGATAATAATTAGAAGGTTTGGATAATAATTAAGAAGTTTGGTTAATAATTAAGAGGTTTGGATAATAATTAAGAATTTTGAATAAATTAAGAGGTGTTTTTTTAATCTGATAAAATAAGCAGCAATAGCTCAAAAGTTAGTTTTTAGTTTTGTTAAATATTTTAAATAAAATTAAAAAATAGTATCATACCAATATTTTTAAATATTGGTATAATGCTTGTATTACTGGTATTATTACCGATATTTAAAAAAAGTATTACCAGTTATTAGGAATAAAAAAAGTGATGTTTTACATGTTCTTAGTTTTAAACTTTCTGGTCTGAATTTGAAGAAAGAAAAAAATGGAAATCAATTTTCTTGAAATACTATGAAAAATGAAAACCAGCACTAAACTGTTAATCAAAAGCATGAAAATTAAAAGTATCATTTAAAAAAAAAATTAAAGTTAAAAGTATCATTTTTTAACAGTTGGTTTAAAAATGTGAATAATCATGCTCTGTTTTTGTTGACACAAGTGCAAATAATCTTGCTCTGTTTTTGTTGACACTAGTGCAAATAATTTTGCTCTGTTTTTGTTGACACTAGTGCAAACAGAAATTTGATACTTTTCATCAAAAGTTGATAATAAGCTTTATCAAAGTCTTATTTGAGTTTTTATCGAAGAACCATTTTCATTATTTACATTTATCAATTATATTCATATCAAATTAAAATATTTCATATCAATTGAGTTGATCAAGAGTTGATTATTTCTTGATACTGCTTGAGTTGATTATTTCTTGATACTGCTTGTTGAGTTGATTATTTCTTGATACTGCTTATTTCTTGATACTTTTTGCTTGGCTGCTTGAGTTGATTATTTCTTGATACTGCTTGTTGGAAAATGGCATCTGTGGTTCCAATATTCAAAAACTCAGGAGAAAATTCTGACCCCTCCAATTATCATCCGATCAGTCTTCTTTCTGTTATTAGCAAGGTCTTTGAGTCTTTGATCAACAATTTCCTCACATCTCATCTTGAGTCAAATAAACTACTACAATCAATACAGTTTTCAATCCTCTCGCTCTATGGCCGACTTGCTAACTGCTGTAACTGAAAGATTTTATCGTGCATTAGATGGAGGCAATGAGGCTAGGGCTATTGCTCTCGACATATCTAAAGCTTTCGACAAAGTTTGGCATGCTGGTCTTCTCCATAAGCTTGCTTTGCATGGTGTTTCTGGAAAAGTTTTTGAGATCAAATCATTTCTTTCTAACCGGTTTATTAAAGTCATCCTTGAAGGCCAACACTCTTCTTTATTTCCAGTAACTTCTGGGGTTCCCCAAGGT